TCCTAACGATTTCTTTATTTTCCCGAACATTAAAAACAGACTGCGTGGTTAAAGGTTCCAGTCACCAGAAGAAGCAGTTGACGCATTCAAAAATGCCGTTTTGGATCTGCCAGCAAACGGGTGGAATAAGTGGTTCGAAAATTCTTTCGAGCGCATGCAGATGTGTATTAATCTTCGTGGAGAATACTTCGAAAAACAATAAAGTCATTTAAAACTACCTACCGTGTTGTTTTATTTCCATATGCAAAACTTAAAAGACATCCCTCGTACTATTCTATTGCGAGGCAAGATGGTTATCACGTGGGAAACGTATTTTTGAATTAAGACATGAAATCGCCGTTTTTCTAGAAGAAAACTGACCGGAAGCCGAGATGTTTCGAGATGGTTTATTTCTGATTGAGCTACTTTTGGTCGACATATTCGAGAAACTAAATATCTTGAACCTTCAGCTCCTAGGAGCAAATACACATATATTGGATACGAGTGATAAAATTAACGCTTTTTGTAGAAAATTGGAATTGTGGTGCAGAAATTTAAAGCAGAAATGTTTGCAAATGATGATGAATGTTTTAAAACTTACAAGGTTGAGAACAACACATGAAAGTTATTTTCATAACCATTGAAAATATTGAGAATCAATTAGCGATGCTGACAAAGAATTTTAAAAAATATTTTCTTGCTGACGACAAATTAATATTTAGTTACGAGTGGGTTAGGAATCCGTTTCAAATTACTCTCAACTGCCGAAGAAGAAATCTTCATAGACTTGACGGCAAACGCCGAAATGAAAAAACAGTTTAATAATAAATCCCTCTTTGAATTTTGGGCAAGCGTGAACGATGAGTTTTCGGCACTGAAAACCAGACCGTTTCGTATACTACTACCATTTTCAACATCTTACCTTTGCGAAACAGGATTTTCGGCGGTGGGTGCTTTGAAGACCAAATATAGATTCTAGCTTAATATAGAAAAAGAACTCAAAGCGTCTATTTCCAATAGTAAACCTTGTTTTGACAAGCTTTGCTAGGCAAAGCAAGTCCAATGGACTCACTAGTAATTATTATTATTTTTTACAATTGATATTATTAAACTTATTTTTAATTTAGTATTGACACTCTATTTACTTATAAATCAGATTACAGTCTGTAAAATTCTATGTTGTAAAGCACTATAATCGTATTCTCCATCAACGGAAACCTGATTTCGAGTTTTAATGTTACCACAAAAAACAGCTTGTGTTATATTTTGAAGATTGAACTTCCACACACTGTATCTCATTATCTCAACCTAAGATTGATTTTTGGTGCATTCATCACGAACCACCCTGTAGTATGAGGGGATATCCAGATTTATGAAACACTAATATACCGTGCCGATATCATGAAGCCCTACATGTGCTATTTACTCGAATTAGTTCGAATTAGTTTATTTAAGCTTTTTTAGAAATACATTCAGAAAAGAGATCCAGGTGAGTACCTACTTCAGACATACGTGTGATGTACTATACAAATTCCGATTAGATTGATCAAAAGTTATACAATTTTGCAGCCATGTAGTTCTTGGAATGCTAATGCTAGATGTATGTCTACTATTTGCAGCTTTAAAACTTTTCTCTTGTAAAACTCATCGATTTACAGTTATACTTAGTTATAATCGTAGCATCATGTTAGTGAAAAGTGAAAATAACAGATCGCTTTCGTTTAACTATGCTGTATTTCTATATATACATGTACATATATAGTATTCATAGTTAATTGTCTTAACTGTTAGGAGAAAATATCCTTCAATTTCTCTGGGTAGAAGGCAAAGTTTTGCATAAGTACACTCTTACAACTTGAACTCGAGTTTTCGAAGGTCTATGCCTATATACAATGTGTTTGGTCACGACATACCGATATTTGAGAGGGATAAATTTCAGCTATTTTTATCGACAAATCCACCCCCTACATTGTCATACCTCACCCCTCTTGAAATGGATCCATACCGCTGCGAACGAAATTAGGGCTGACACGGAGATGGTCTGCCGCTCAACACGACACATTGTTTTAAGAACAGCAATGTGCATAACCAAAAATGGAGGACATTTTGAACAGCTTCTGTAGCATTAAAGATGTCCAAACTCTCTATAAGAAGCATTGGTTTGTCATTTTTATATATTCAAAGTTTGAAAACAATTTGCATTTTATTACACCCATTTTGACCCATGTTAGATAGCATTTATTGCTAAACGTAGAATACTTAGGATAACAAAAAGCTGTAGAATTAGCACAAAAAAAGTTCAACTTCACAGACTAGTTTTTGAATGGTTTGCGAAAACGCACAAAATAATCAATTTTCTTACACATTTTTTTCTGTTTTTGTCTGTTTTTAAGTATGTTTGACGGTTAGTATCAAAACAAGTTTTTCAATAATCGCTAGGACAACATGTCATCGTTCTAATGACACCAAATTTATCATTCTGTGACAATTACGTACTCAGTTATTACAATTTTCAAACATGCACTACCGTAATCGTAACGTAAAAATAAAAATGGCTGCCATTTCAAGGGGGATGAGGTAGGACATTGTAGGGGGGTGGATTTTTCGATAAAAATAGCTGAAAAATACCCCTCTTAAATATCGGTATGTTGTGACCAAACTCATTGTATATATATATATCCATAGAATCCTACGGCAAAATTTGCTTTATCCCTACCATGCGCAATGAGTGCAGGCCTTGTTACCAGCAGACTATCCTCGCAGACTAACATTCTGTCAGTGGTTTTTGCACAAAAACATTGAAAATCTTCTAGCGACGGACGAATGTACTTTTACGCGAGACGGGATATTAAATTTCCATAATACTCACACGTGGGCCCAAGGATATCCCCATACAATTCGTGAAGGTCATTTCCAACAACGTTTTAAAATAAATATTTGGGCGGGTATTCTTGACGATCAGGTAATTGGCCCTTTCTAGTTACCCCCAAAGTTATCAGGAGAAGGATACCTTAGCTTTCTAGCCAATAAGCTACCAGAACTTTTGGAACAGACCTTATACAACATGCCATTACAACCGAGACAGACTTTGTGGTTTCTTCATGACGGGGCACCACCACACATTTTTAGAGGCGTCATTCAGTATTTGAATAAACATTATCCAAATCGCTGGATCGGTCGAAATGCTCCTGATCCTCGAAAATGGTCAGCAAGATCTCCTGACCTCAATCCCATGGATTTCTGGTATTGGTGAGAACTTAAAGGGATGGTTTATGGGGCTGGTACAATAACGACTGAAGCACAACTTCTCGATAAAAAATTTAATGCGGTTGAAATAATAAATGTACAACCTAGAGGACCTACGGTAAGAAGAAACTGGGTTCGTCGTGATGAAACTTGTGTGGAAAGTGGATGACGACATTTTGAACACCTTCTTTAGATACAAAAAAAGTGCAGAGTGGGTTTTAAAAAGAAAAACAATTATTTATCAATATACGTATATATACAGGGTGACTTCGAAGTTGAGTCATTTATTTTAACAGTGAGTAGATCTGATCAAAAGAAATGTTTTTTTCCTTTACCATTTTCCTGGTAAAATTAAAGTAACAAAGTTATAGCCCTTTGGAAGTTTGAGTACCGCCCTGTCTCAATAACAATATTATGTGGTCGTGTTTGGCGACAATGGATATAATCCGCCGTATCGGTTCATCGCATCGGAAACAAAAAAGCGAAAGAATTTGGAACGATGTTTTTACAAGTATCTCATTCATTTGTATACAGTCAGTGTCAGTGAATAGTGGTATGTGTTGCGTGGCTCAAACGAAATAAAAAATGGCACATGTTTATGCGGATCGGTTTCCCAATCGAGTGCAACCAACCCCTCGTGCCTTTGTTAATGTAGTACAACGGGCTTGTGAATCAGGTGACTTAAGACCTCACAGGGGACCTCACGATCAAATACAGGTCCGCACTGAAATACTTGTCGGGAGGATACTTTATAAAACAAGGTAAAAATTTTTTTTTATTTTTACACACATATTTTGGTTTATCTTCCTTCTACAATCATTATCTGAAAATTAATGACTCAACTTCAAAGTCACCCTGTATATATATATATATATCAAAAAGTAGAAAAAAAGAGGAAAGTGGATTCGAGCAGAAAACAGGATAGGTAACCCGAGCGATACGTATTTCTGCTGGTTGGCTTCATCACGCCCGTAATGAATGCACATATGAAACTACAAAAGTAGATACACATGCCCACATATCCGGATACGGGTGTAACCTGAGGAAACGAAGATGGAGAGGGAAAAAAACGACACACGAAGTCCACAACAAGAGCCAACCTACACATTGTAGTATAAAATGACTAGAAGACCTCGAATTTTCAAGGAGACACCTAACCACAACCACGTGGCTGGTTATAGCCACTTGCTGCCAACCAGCAGAAATACGTATCGCTCTTTTCTCTTTTTTGCGGATTTTTCCCATTATTTTTCTACTTTTTGTTATATACCTTTCTCCGCATGATCATTTTCTCTATATATATACATATATCAAATATCATCAAAGCTATGTTCAAATAACAAAAAAAAATCGATGCAAAAATATGAAAATTAATCGAAATATCAAATTATTTCTTAGGCTTCTGTGACTCCAGCTGCTCATTATCATTTTCTTCGCCCTTTTTTCATTTTTGAACCACCATGTTTTCCTGTAGATTTTCGGCTTGGCATAACTTGTTAAGAAGATTGTAATGAAAATGCTTACTCCATGAAGCGAGATATATACTAAATTGTACTATTGTTTTGTTTTTCGCTATAAAACCTAGTCGCCATTTTCCCAATTAAGCCATTTATCGAAATTAATTAGAACGTCAGTCATTTTAGTTTGACAAAATTCTTACTTCATATATATAACTGACAAAACTCATGTATCCTTCAATATATGAACGTGAGTTATAGAAATAATTATATTAAGAGGAAACCCTACAAACTTAATCTGCTTTTCTAATTTCAACGAAAGCTAATCTTTTGGGTCGTAATTCCAGAGTTCCCTAATTTTCGTACGTTTCACATCGCTACGCTATAAATACTTGGAAATTAATAAACTTGTCGTATATTTAATACGTTTGCAATCATTGTTACAGCAAATTCACACATGCATTATGGATACAGAAGAGTTTAGAATTAGAGGTAAGTAAAATAACCATGCTACATATCTACTGAATACGGGCAGATGTTGACGTTCTCAAAACCTCTTGTCACTTTCTAGGCAAATAGCAAATTAATATATGTCTGACAATAACAAACAATGCAATAGCCTGATATTTGCTTGTCGCTCTAATAACAGGAGTAGGTGTCTATGCTAGAATGTTCTACTCTAAATCAGAAAGTTTCCGCCATCATATGTTTTTAGGCTTTCAGCGCGAAAAAGACGCAGACTCAACCAAGTACTTCGACATAAAATTAAAAATATTACTTTTCTTTTTATTCCATACTGAACATAGTTTGTTTCAAACTTGATGACAATGTGGATGATTGAGATGTTTCTTGGTCTATAAGATTTTTTGATTCACGACGTTTCGGTTGATGTGGTCTTCCATCGTCATCAGGAAAACTGGCGAACATGCTCTCTTCTTGAAACTGCAACTTAACCAACCGAAAGGAGGGACATTTCACAAACAACCACCGGCTACGACATCAAAGGGTAGAAATCGTCAAGAAAGGAGAATGTTCAGCAGTTCACCTGATGATGATCAATCATCAATCCAAACGTTATGAATCTCAAAAAACCTTGTAGACAATGGATGTTAGAGAAACAACATCTTAAGCATAGTTTATATAGGCAAAGAGATGGTGGACTATATTTGCTCGTACTTGGATACAATAAGAAACCGTCGAGTATTCCCAGGAGTTGAACCGGGCTTTGTGCACGGCAAAGTACCAGATAATCCTCCAATAGAGGGAGAACCATGGGATGACATTTTCGCAGACGTTGAGAACATTATAATGCCTGGTGTAACACATTGGCAGAGCCCTAGGATGCATGCTTACTACCCAGCACTCACTAGTTACCCCTCCATGTTGGCTGAGATGCTCACCAATGCTATTAACTGCTTGGGATTTACTTGGGTACGTATATCCAGAACACGACGGTGGCCCGATAAGTACTTAGCCTACAAAGAAAAACAAAAATTTTGGAAAAATGGCGATTTATTTCTCAACATAGTCTCCTTTTAGAACGATACACACTTGATGCTGCAACTTCTTTAACCCGTCTGAACAATACGTTTTCTGCAAAGTAGGCCTCTGTGGCGGCAACAACCTCCTCATTCGACTCAAATTTCTACCCGGCGAATGACTTTTTCATGTTTGTATACAAAAAGAAGACGCAAGGGGTCGGAAAATGCGGTTGATGGGGCTTCACTTCGTAGTCTAATTCGACCAATTTTGCCATGGCGATGGCGGAGGTGTGAGCCGGTGCGTTATCATGGTGGAAAAGCACTTTTTCTTTGCCAAATGTGGCAATTTTTGCTGTAATTCGGCGTGAAGTGGGCCCAATAGTTCGTCACAGTAGAACCCTGTGACCGTTTTGACCTTCTCCAGGTAGTCGATATAGATTACACCTTATGAATCCCAGAAAATAGTGGCTATCACCTTCTTCGGAGCCCGTTCGTAGGGTCCACTGTTTAGAATGTTCCTTGGTATCTGGTGTATACCCAGTGGATCCATGTTTTGTCGACGATCACGAAACGACGAAGAAACATTTTCGGATTGCGTTTAAACAGCGAAAAATACTTCTTTGAAGTGGTCTCACGGTTGCGCTTGTTGTCCGGATTGAGCAAACGTGGCATTCATCGTGCAGACAGCCTTCTCATGCCCAATATTTCCTGCAGGATATGACCCACGCGGTCTTTTGAGATGCCTAGTGTCTCGGCTATCTCGCGCATCTCCAAACGGCGTTCTGCCAATACGAGATCATGGATTTTTGTCACGTTATCCTCCGTGGTAACCATTTTCGGGACACCTAGACTCATCAAAAACCGACATGCGCCCACGTTGAAACTTGTTAGAACATTTTTTGATGGTCACCATCGAAGGAGAAGATTCGCCACACCACAAGTGCTCTTTGATTTCGCTGCACAATTTTCCGTCCAAAAATGAATCAGCGGCCAATATTGCTCTTTTTCTATAATCCACGGACACACCCGCTTCCACACGAGCTCAAAACAAAACTACTAGTCTGATTCGGCAGAAATTTTGACAGTAGCCGTCTACAAGAATGTAATACACGATAGTAAATTTCTCTTGCGATATTGGCGCCATCTGGCGGTGAGGAAAAGTACTTATAGGACTGCCCTCGTACACGTGAGAAATATAATAATTGGTGTAAAGTAATTTCACACTATTATTTTTGAACAATATGAGTTTGGAAATAACTCCATCGCCGTTTTTGCCAAATCTATGAAGTCGATTTTTTTTCTTTACATTCACCACAAAAGTTGACGAATCTGGTAAAGTAAAAATATAGGTATTATTATTACAGCCTTCATTAATGGAACAGATGTTCATGAAAGTGTAGCTCAATTTTTTGAAAACTAAAGGATCTGTGTCCATATGGGGTTTATTCGGCCTTGAAAATAACATAAATTTTAAGTTGATCACCTCGTGAAATTTTTGCATTTGTATATTTCGGTATTTTAAAGATTCATCAACATTTTTATTTTCATTTTAACACTAATGATACCATTTTATCAGATTTTCTAGCCATCCGGTTACATCATCTTTATATTCTGTTTGCAGGCGTCTAGTCCTGCTTGTACGGAATTAGAAATGATAGTCACGAACTGGTTGGGAAAAATGATCGGCCTACCGAACGAATTCCTTCACAATAAGGATAGTAATGGGGGAGGCGTCATACAGGTAATATGATCAAGCATGACATACACGTAAACACACCTATTCCACTTTTGAAATTCAATTATCATCTCATCAAGTGGTACTTATGAGTCGATTTTATACTATTTGACATGGTAATGAAAAAAGATGTGTGTTAGAAATTTCAAACATCACAAAGAACATTAATACAATAACCCGAGAATTAAATGAACGGGCATAATCACATTTATCACTCTGGCTTACACTGATGGTTCTCAGAGATGATTCTGCCAACGGGGCAATAAGTGGCACTCGTGAGTAACTAGTTCTATCGTTACCATATGCTTGATATTAGTAGTTCTGCTTTTATTCATAGTCCCACCTGGATCGCTGATGAGTTCCAATGAGAATGAAACGGCAGTCATATTTTAATACTTGAGCCGGGAAGCAATCAAAAGTATAGAGAACTATACATCACGAGCGAATGCGTTTATCGCTGTATTAATAATAATAATTAACATCTTTTATTTGTAATATTCTTACAGGAGGCGAGATTTAGATTATATATCTATTCTACCATCTAACACCCTTAACAATACGAGATGTAAAAAAAAAGAATTTGTTGAAAATTAATAGGTACCTTGTATACAATAACGACAGAATAAAGTATAATCACAGTAAAGTCATAAGGAAAATATGAGGACACTTATGGGTTACAACAGATTTCGCTGCTCAAGTAGAACTTCTTTCACTTTTTTCTTGAATTTGGATAATGGATTGGTTTCTTTTAAACTGCGGTCTAAAGAATTATATGATTTGATCGCATTGTAAATGTATGTATTCTGAAATAGAGATGTGCTGTGGCGTGGAATTGAAAATGTCTCTCTATATCTAATATTAATACCATGCATATTCCCTCTACGTATGTATTTGTTTACTAAATATGACGGTGTTTTTGAATAAAGGACCTTATGAGTCAGATTTAGGAGCTGGTATTTATACATTTTATCAATTTTCATCCATTTGAGTTCATCAATGGCATTCGATATATGATCATATTTTCTGAGACCATTTACAAGTCTGCAACATGTATTCATAATACTTTGAATACGATTTCTTGTTATAATATCTAAATACGATATCTCTGAAAACAAGAAAGATTCACACAATTGCTTTCTCGCAGATTTATGTAATATAGCCTTATTTGCAAATAAAACTCTGAGAATATCGTAGTACTGAGTAATTAGATAGTTCACGTGTGCAACAAATTTAAGTCATCATCCATTATAATACCTAGGTTTTTCGAATGATCCACAGGAATTAATTTATTACCTTTTAAATGTATGTCTATGTCCTTTTTTAAGATATTGTTTTTTGTTCTATTTGCGTACACCAACATATTTGTCTTCAAAGGGTTCAAACGAAGATTATGACTACTACTGAACTTTTCAATTTGGGCAATATCTTGATTAATTTTATTATTTGCTGTTCCCAAGTCATTACTCCTAAATGAATAGAAAATTTGAGTATCATCTGCAAAAAAATGTATGCTGCATGATTTTACCTCTGTTTCTAAATCTGAGATATATAATATTAGGTGTATTATACATACATAAAAAATGGGAACGGAAATTTAAAAAAAATATTTGATAAATCCTGATGCCCTATATTTTGACCATAATTTTCAAACTTCATAACCGTTCCTATTTCTAGACAACAGCAAGCGAAAGTACACTGATCAGCCTCCTATCCGGACGTAGTGTTACCCTCCAACGCTACTCAAACCTCCAACCTGACGTACCTCTTTTTGAGATTCACTCTAAGCTAGTGGCATATTGTTCAGATCAGGCACATTCGAGTGTTGAGAAAGCTGCTCTGATTGGCTTGGTTACACTTAGGTACGTCGAATCAGACGCAGAGTACTCAATGTCCGGCTCAAAACTACTCGAGGCTGTCAAAGAGGATAGAGAGAAGGGACTCATACCATTTTGGGTGAGTGAAAGTAATTTCAAAATAATCAGTCGGCCAGGAAATACTATATTATTTCAAGAATAACACAAAGGGGGTATTTTTCATCCACATAAACTTACACTTTGAATTGCAAAAACACACTGTTTACATCAATTTTTCAAGGATGATGGGGCTTATGCTCGGTTTTTACATTTCCGTTGAAAAAAATGAAGTATCTGGATTAAAATTACAGTTCAAGTAGATTGAAAGAGAACTCATTCAAATGCTCTGTATTACCTAATACCGATAGGACGTGTTATGTTAAACTGTAAATGTAAGAGAAAAAAAAAAGGTACAGGTACACATGCTCAAATCTAGCACAAAAGCATGCTATTAATGAGCAAACGCTACTTAGTAGCATGTGTGTACATACGTTACTGGATATAAGCATGCTTTTTCTGAGCACGCTTAAAAATCGACCGCCGCGTGCGATTTTTGAACTTGCTACCTGCAGCGCGGGTGGAAGGGGGTGTGCTTGTAGCGCGTGTGAACAGGTCTGCTTTTTAAGGCGAGAATACACATGCCAGTAAAATAGCATGCCAGTGGCCAGTAACTTGTATGCTAACTACTTGTCCTACGACATCCCAAAATACACATGCTAGTTTTGGATATGCCAGTCTGTGAAAACTTTCCTTTATCTTCTTTAACTCTTGGTGGTAGGTTGTTCTTAGGTTTTTTATCTTATTTTTCATAAACTTCAATGTTAAATTGTTATCAGTCATTTGCTTCAATAAAGACTTGTAAGCATTGTCTCTAGCGATTTTATTTTTATACAATGGAGATCATGTATTCCATAAACACGGATACTCCCTATACTGCATAACAAACAATAAAGTCTTTTCGTCTCTCCAACGAGCCATTTTGCCCGGAACTAAACAAATAGTTCTATAGTTCAAGAATCCGTTTTTCACATGCGAGTTTCTGGTAACGATGTCGTTCACACACCTTTGAACATGACTCGCATGTTTCCTCCCCTCCATTCCCTCGATGAAATCCTGCTCCTGGCACACAAAAATCAAACGTCTTGCGATCTACTGGCGTGCTATCTTCTAGCGTGCTTTCTTGCTGGCAAAGAAAGTCACACATGAAAGTAGCACGCACAATCCAGTAACTGGCATGCTTCTGTGCGTGTAACAAGCATGTGTATTCTCGTCTTTAAGCAATTAAGCATGCTATTATTGAGCAACAGTTGTTCGCAGCAGGTGCTGGTGTGTGTTCCAAAAATGGCGCGCTGGGAAGACGACAAGACGTTAAAGTTTGTCATTCTATATCGAAATTATGAATGTCTGTGGAACCCAAAGTCCCGCAGTATAAAAAGAATATTTTTAGAAACAGTGCGTATGAAGATATGTTAACGGATATGAATGTATTGCAATAGAAAAATTTATTCACTTCTGAGGAGAGAGTCACTTGGTTTTCCTTTTTTGCAATGGAACACTGACTGCTCATAAGCCTGCTATTTTATGAGCATGTGTATCTGTACCTTTATTTTTCCTCACACGACGTGAGTCCAACCTCTATAGCAGAAGTAGGGTCACATTCTAACTTTTCACGTCACGCGAGGAATGATTCTGTTTGTTCTGCAGCCCACATACCAAACCACAGATACTTGACTGTGGATAGGAACTACACCAACCGGCATCTCTCACATCCAAGCTTCCACCTTCTCACATATCCTTGTCAATCTTTTTCTCGCATATACCTGTGCTGAATAGCTTCCGACACTCCTTTTCACGTAACCCTGGATCTTCCTTTTCTTCTAGATATATTGAGGGAGTGTTAAATGAAATATTTGTAATGGCCACCATTCCTCGGTCATTCTTAGATATGGCTTCACCAGTTTAACCGCCTTGCGCTTCAACTGTTTCTATGATATTCATTTGAATCTCATATCTTTCCGAATTAACAGCTGCACCTCCAAAAATCATTTTGCTCGCTCTCAACGTTCCTTCATAGAAAAATCAAGATTCATTCTTCTAGGGATGTTCGGTCGGTGTCGATGATTGTATGTTCTTGACGTTTTGCCATTACCCGTAGATGGCATCTTCAAAAGCGGATCGAAGTTCCGCCTCTTCCGAGAAGCTGATCAAACTGGGATCTGTGATGGGTATTTTATACCCATGCCCAGATCGAGGGTCGGGTGTCTCTCCTACCAGTTACGGTTGTTTTCTTCCTTGCCGTACGGTTTTCATCCTTTTGAGTACAGGCACCTGTTTCTTCTTTTCTGATGAAATTGTCATTGTGCTTGAACATTTCAATGGATTCTCTGTCAAGTCGGGCATAATGTGATGGTGTGGCCAGAGCCTGAGTTTCCTCAAACGTTATCCTGTTGTTTGTTCCCTATATGTATGTTTTGCTATTACATAATTTTTTGTGTGGCCTAAGCAAAGTTTGCTCTGTGTTCTAAAATTTTTATCGATCGTTTCGTAGTTCCGCAGATGCACGATATGCGGTAGCCACAGTGGGTCTGTTCTATCTTTGGCCGATCTCAGGTATTCTCGATGTTCCTTTACGGTTTATAGTATTGATATTTTCCTTCCTGAGTAGTCTTTCGATTCTGTCAGTTATTCTAGGTAGGTACATAGGCTAGGATCATTTTCTCTGTTGTCGCTCTTCATAGATCTTACTATCTGCTTCTCAGAATAATCGTTAACCCTGAAAGCTTTCTTTATATGTACCAGCTCTCTTTTTAATTGTTTTAGCTCGTTCGGTTAGATTCTCCATGATTCTGCATGTTTCAGATGGGTGGTAATTCGAGTCATTGAGTGTGTAACGGTCGGCATGGGTATCATGTAAAAAACCTATAAAGCGTCAAAAAAAAAACCTATAAGATGTCATCTTGCAAACTAGGTAGTTTTTAGGGCGCAAACAGTCATTCCACGTTTGCTCGCTAGGATCGTTGTGAACGTCCATGTAAGGAGGAATCACTCAACTAAACTACACGCATTATTGGTTGCATACGTTTTGTGAGGCCAAATGGTCCTTGACTGTAGTTTTTATCTCTGAGAAGAAAGTTGGTTGAATAGCAAGATCGCATCTGGATGATTTATGTGTATTGGTCTGAATGTGTATGAAATCAGTGATATTTGCTGTGTGAGAAAAACATTACGGAATAGTCTGCCAATGCAGTATATCTGTTGGCTGTGCCCGATGGATTATTTTTATGTTGTGCTTTCTGAAGAGAGGTTATGTTCAAAGCTATAAATTACCAAAAACTGAGGAGTGTGTAATTACTGTTAGCATGTATGGCTTGTAATTCGACAGTGTACAGTGAATATAATTATTTCTTATCTCTCTCATGTTTGAAATTCAGAAATTTGTATATGTAATTTCCAAAATGGATAAGAAAAAAGTGGATGCGCAACTAATTTCTAGCTTTGAATCTCAATGTAATTATCATCAACACATACAACTTACAGTTTAGACCTCCGGTAATGCCATCTCAGAAGCAGATTTTACAACACATCAGAGCCAAAGATTGATAACAAGCCTCATGACTCATGACGTTTAGGCAACACGTACAACTAAGTGCTAAGATAACATCTTGTAGAAAAACCTACATAATGTTAAAAAAAATCGGCATAATGTCACTTTTCAAGATACGTGATACCCGTGCGCGGCTTTCGTAGTCTTTCTGCATGCAGTATGCCCGAGGGTCCTTCCTTTTCTTGTCAAGAGCACATCAAAAAATGCCGGCATCCTATCCTTTTCTACCTCCATTATGAACTTGACGTTGTTGTGAACACTGTTCAGGTGTGTAATTAATCTACATATCTAAACTATATTGTAACGGAAACACCGTTTTTACTGTTTGAAGTCTAAAAGTTATTACTTTAGAACTAATTTATGACAAATGGCCGTGTCAACTGGACTGCGCTGCTGACTCATCACACGCTGTCTGTCCACAGGTCCACAGACTGTTTTTTCCGCCCTCTGGGCGGGTATTTATGTACGAACCGACGAGTCTCGAAGCGTACCGCGTCTTATAGATAGAGCTGGATTCTTCTTCGAAGCTGGTAGTTGGCGGTCGATTCCTTTTCCAAGAGGTTTCAGCCTGTCGAATATTTGCAATTGAGAACGCCCTTTATATGACTATTCGTCATTTGTTTGTCTGGGCGGTCCGTAGGACCTTTGCCCATTAGTCACAACCCTTTATATACGGCGTAATTCTGGTTGCCAAGCGTCGATGATACGAGGGCGTCTCATCGGTACTCCAAAGTTCTACTTTACGAGTGCTACAACAATACCTTATGTTTGTACAGATTTAGAGCTTCTTCTACTATTTTCTCCATTGCGATGGCTACGACCGGATTTAACGGGCTCCCCATTGCCTACGCCTTCAATTTGTTCACGTTATGTGTCATTCCAGAACAAATATGTCTTGAATAAGTTAGTTATGAGAATATCTTCCTGTGTTCTATTCCATGGTTTAGTGGTACTCTTGTAAATAGTAATATGACGTCAAAGCTGACGAGAAAGTCAGCTTCTTCGAGTTGCATGTTTTTGGTTCTGATACAAAATGTGTCGAATACTTGATGTATGTGTCGATTCCTTGCACAAAAGACTGCAGCAGTGTGGTATTTAGTCGATTTTACGTAGGCGAATCTATTGCACTGTTGTTTTTTACGATTGTTTTGGCCTTCCTTATTATGCTCTTCATCGGGTGTTTTGGTAATGAACGGTACGTGGCTGGATCCAGTAACTCACCCATCTTTGCTTTGTAATGTTCGGTATTCATTACCACGCTGGCGTTTCCTTTGCAGACAGGAAGCATTAAGATTCTTTGATCCCCATTCATTTCCTTTAAGGCTTTCAGTTCTCCCGATTTCAGATTATATTTTGGTGGCTTTTCCTTTTGCAGGATTACGTTCGTGGGTATTTCTCGACAAATTTATAAATTTCATTTTGCATTTCTTAAAAAAAAAATAATGAAGTTATATCCTTTTTTTGCAGAAATATAAAGTTTTACTTTAGTGAGGTTCATTGAAAATGAAGGTCCTCCATATTTTTGTGTATAACATGTAGAAAAATTACTTTTAAAAAACTATGAAATGAGGTAATGACTGATAGGATGGGGGAATGATTTTTACAACAATTTGATGGTGAATTTCAATAAAAAACATAAGTTAATTTATTAATAGATGTTACTTTAGAGAGCTTAGATAGCCCTTCTTCGCTGGGCACATCCTCGTATTTTCATCCTTCTCTAAGAAATGAACAACATCACCCTAAACTTTCAGGATTTTGGAGCTAACTTTATGAGTACAGTTCTTTTTGCACGTATCGTTTTTGAAAAATGTTTCGATCTATATAGCAATTTGTATCTTTTGTACTAATTGCAGCTTCAAGATTTTGTAATATTTTTTCTGTACTCCATGTTTACTTCCAAGATCTTCATAGATATTCTTGAGGTCCGTTGACAGTGCAAAATGAGTCTTTTCTTTCAACGTCAGGAACTTGCATGCTCTTTAAAAGCCAAGACACTTTAGTTGCTGGAGAGTTTGGGTCAGTATTTTTAGTGTTCAGACTGAAAAACACCTCTTTTGATATTTTTCGCTAAGCTTGACTGCGTTCCTTACTATTTTTCAAACTTTTAATCTTCGCGAACAGAATAGTTCGCAGCTTGCGCATTCTACGTCTATTGTGCTGTGAAGATGGTGCAGGACGTGGTGGGGGTGTTTCTTCAACTGTTCTCTGTAAATTCGATTGTAATATTACTCGCTTTTCCCTATAAACTTTACTATTCTTTTTCCATTGTTTTGGCTAGTTTCTCTTGCACTCATAGAACTTATTGACTTAACTTGACTTCTTATTTAAATACTTTAATCTTTTTTTTTTCACGCAAATCTTCTAAAGTCTCAGCTTTAATTTTTATTTGTTCTAGACTCTTTCTGTCGTAATCCTTCTTTTTTAATTTATTTTCTTCTTCACTTAAGTTCTTCGTTTTCCCCATTCTTGATATACGGATATCTATTACAATTGAAAACACATGCTATACAACCTGGAGTTAAACAATAATACCCAAACCACAATTTTATATAAGGTACCCGGGGGTAATAAGGCCCACCTAAGAAATTATAATTAATATCTACGAGAGAAATTTACTTTTTCAAACTTTTATTATTATAAAAAATAGAAAAGGGTATAAACTAACTTAATGGTAATGTTTGAACACAAAATAATCATGTTTATATGTCGAGACGCGAACATTAAAAAAATTGTCTTCTGGGCCTTAAAGCCTGCAAGTGCATATAATAAGGCCCATATTTAAATGAACAAAAAACAAGTCAAACGAATAAATAAAACACAAAAAAAATCAAAAAATAAAAAGAAAATATTAAAATAATGATATCCAAACATAAATATCAAAAATATCCCTTTGGGCCTTAATATCTGCAACAACATATAATGAGATAAAAAAATAACAGTTCAACAAAATACTGATAGAATAAAAAATAAATGTAACACACTAAAAAAACAGTATCAAAGATAAAATATGGTATTAACTATAAATCTAATACTTAAGTCACACAGTCTGGACACAACAAATTTTTAGTACCGTCCGCAGTCAAACCAGCACAATCCTCATGGACCCAAAAACCACAAGAAGCACATAGTCTCATATCTGTTACATAGTCTTCGTAGCAAATCACACAGTGCCATTCTTCGTTATGTTCTTGTGTTTTTGATGCAATGGAAGACACAGATTCAGATGGCGATTTAGCGGTTTTCGATAAGACTGGAACGGGATCAAGTTGAGACTCCACCTCCTTTAAAAATACGGATCGCTTGACTTCAACTGCTTTGTAATTTATAGCTTTACGTCTTGGAGCACATTTTTTTTTTGACTAGATCTGGTGTTGGTAACACTTCCGCGAAGGAATTACTCAAAGGGATTAATTTTTTACGCAATTCGCCTAAAGGCAGGTAGTCATCTGAATCATATTCCGAATCATCGGCAGCGGCGGTCGTCTCCTGGTAAGGTTTCTCAGTTGCAAGACTTGGGGCAAATGCTTCAATGGGAAGAACATCCTTATCATAAGGACATATTCCCGTAGCTCGAAAGCCGCTTGTAATATTTCCAATGAACATTGCTTTCTGCCATGTAAGTGTGAAAACTTCAGAAAATCTTTCACTGTTTAAATCACGTGTAGGATGTTTACCCAGTACTTTAACAATTCATCGTCCCAATAAGCTTGAAATGCTCCGGCAGCGGCGGTCGTCTCCTGGTAAGGTTTCTCAGTCGCAAGACTTGGGGCAAATGCTTCAATGGGAAGAACATCCTTATCATAGGGCATATTCCCGTAGCTCGAAAGCCGCTTGTAATATTTCCAATGGACATTGCTTTCTGCCATGTAGGTGTGAAAACTTCAGAAAATCTTTCCCTGTTTAAATCACGTGTAGGATGTTTATCCCAGTACTTTAACAATTCATCGTCCCAATAAGCTTCAAATGCTCGAAATATAGCTTTGTCCATCGGCTGAAGCTCATGGGTGGTGTTACTCGGCAGACAATATAAGTGAATCTCATGAGCTTCTGCTTTCTCAGCAATGCTAATATCCAAATGGCATTTGGCCCCATCAAAAATTAAAATTACTGGCGGAGGCGACATGTATTCAATGAAATGGTCTAACCACTTATCAAATGTTTCTATCGTCATGCTCCCTTTAGGCGTCATCATAACTTTTGAGCCAGCCGGTAAGCCATCTGAGTTGGTTGGCTTCATTCTCTTGCCCTTAAAAAGAATGACAGGCGGTATGGCATGTCCGAGAGCATTAGCGCAAGCGACAATAGTTGCGTTTTCGGCGTGTTCATGAGAAATTACATGCACTCGTTTTGCTCCTTTGGCTGCCAGAACGTTTTGTTGGTGGTGAAGAGTCAAGCGGCAACCCTTCTCGTCCATATTATAAATTTTTGCTTCTTTATTTTTTAACTGAGTGCGCTCCAACAAATCTCCTTGTTTTTTGAAATGATCTTCTACGATAAAACGATTTAATTTTTGGGCTCTTGCTGGATTCATGAATTGAGATCGACGTTTTGATATTCTTGGATGATTTTTCAGAAAAGTCCTTACCCACTCCCTACCAGCGAGACGAGTTTCCTGATTGAAACAATGCTTAATTTTCTTTTGCTCAACATACCTGAACACAGACCTTCTTAATGCTTTTGGTGTTAGCGGAAAACCTTTATCGGCTAGCCGAATTATTTTATTAAGGTCAGTCTCTTCATTATCGGTCAAAATTGTTTGTCTACCTAGTTTTCTCTTCACGCTTTGTGATTTAATGTGGTTCCTAAGTGTTCGTCTGGGTATTCCGCATTTTTGTTCCACCCAGCGCTGAGATTTTCCCTCGTTAATATAATTTAATGCCTCTCTCATCATCTCTTCATCCCAATTTGCCCTTATCCCTCTACTGTTTTTAACCATCTTCTGTAAAAGAATAAATAAATCTAATGAGTACGTGTATTCATGGCGGCAGAAAATAAAGCCCAAGCCTTTCTCAATGCATTGTAGAAAATTAGGCCCGGGCCTTATAACCTGTAGCACAATAAAATTAATTTTGAGGTTATTAAACAACAAACAAACCCAACATAAAAAGAAACGCTACGTAAAATGAAACTATCAGATACATAGATTATCATGCATACATAATGAAAAATCCACGTATTATTAAAACAATTTAATTTGCTTACTTACCGGTCGAAATTCTTATAAAATACAGCACAGCGAAACGTGACACCATAGAACAAGCCAGGAAGCTCATAACCATAGAACAAAATTACATTTCCGGCAACAGTAATACTAAATATTATTAACAGATGGCGATATAAATATTTTAGGCGCTTTCCTTTGGGCAAACCAGCGTTGGGCTTTAATATCTGGTGGGCCTTATTACCCCCGGGTACCTTATACAAAAATATTCCCTCATAGAATTTTCATTGCCTCACTTTCTAATCTAGTCAGGGAATGACCGTGAGGGAATGACGGATTTGCATAAACGACAGCGTAACCAACAGTACATCACCTCAAATTGATTTAGCATTTTGTGAATGCATTTTACTCCTCAAAACAAGAAACAACAACAACAAAATATAAACAGTGAAGTAATGTTCTAATTATTGAAATCCAATACTTTTTTGCAGCAACTCTTTTCACTATTAAGAAAATCCGCCATGTTGATATTATTAGCAGTATTGCCAAGTTTTAAAAACATAACAGATGCGTTCAAAAATATCAAATGGACCATAAATCGAATATTTAAAATGGGTGAGGGAATGATTGCATTTCAAGGGACATAGTTTAAATAATTTTTTTTATGTGCATATTTATTTTTTAGCAATGAAAGCTTGACTATACAATCCATACTTATTACCAAATATTTTAGTAATATTCAATTTATAAAAATATGAACAGATTGAGGGAATGACTTTTAGTCTAATAAATTAATCGTATTTTTTTGTGTCAATATATTATCAATGAAAAATACCATCGTATTTCTTGGACTTTGCTTGGTAGATTCCGTATTGATGGCTCCAGATTTCCAATAATAGCCTCAGTTGGTTTATCAAAAGGCAAAATTTCCACCCTTTGATAGTGACGAGACGTCACCTGGTGTGAGGTTTCGTTTAAATTTACAATTTGTCGATTGGTGTCTAATCCGGATGTCGAATTCGTGTTTTCTACGAACTTCTCAAACTTCTCCTTTTGTGTTCTAGAGAAACACGTAAAGTTAACAGAACATAAGAGTTAATTTCGATCCGCTTCTAAAGATGCCATCCAGTGGTGTACTGGTAATGGCGAAACGTCAAGAATTAACAATTGCCGACGCCGGCCGAAAAAGATTGAATCGTTTGGACAATGGCCGCGAGAGTCTCACACAATTCATTATGCATCAAAAACCTTTCAATATACCAATTTAAAGCGTCCACTCATTCTTGTAGGTTTGTACAACGCTGGGCACTACAGGATGCTGCTCCTTCGACGATCTACAAGGTATTGCAAATGTGTGTCAACAGGAACAATTATGGTGTCATGTGGATGCTGCATATGCGGGCTGCTCTTTCATTTGCCCTGAATTTCGAAAATGGCTGAAAGGAGTCGATAAGATCGACTCGATAGCTTTCAATCCGTCCAAATGGTTGATGGTGCATTTTGATTGCACGGCGATGTGGTATGTAGAGACAGGCAAAACAAAAAACAGATTCTTTGTTGAATAAAGAGGCGGTCTGATATCTCCATTCAACAATTCTTTGGTCGAAAGAATGATTTAGTTGTAAGAAACTGGCGGACCAGAACTAGAAGGTTTGCATTTGATGTCACATTGTGTGAGAAGGATGAATCAAATATAATGAAAATCGGTATATGTCTTTTCAGAGTTTTTGGTGGGCCACAGTATCATCAAAACTGCCAGTATCATCTTCATATCTCCCTCTCCCTCATGCATATACACGGACTCAACTTTTGAGTGCGGACTTTTGCTTGTGAAAGCCAGACGACATGTTAATCTAATCATATTAGACGAAAATACCCTTGGTTTGCGAAATAATAGTAAAGTCTGGTTTTATTGCTGCAAGTTGTTTAAGGGGGTATTCAAAACATGGATGCATTGAATGGGTACACCAATTTTTGTGGGAAAACTTTTTATTTGACAACAAAGAATGAGAAAACGTGTTTTTTGGGATTCAATCGAAAATGTTGGCAGGAACGAAAAAACTCTTCATATAAGATTTTTAGGTGTTTGCAAGACCTACAAAATGAGACCACACGTAAAAAGATCCGACTGATGAAGTTATGGCCGAAAACCGAGTTAAACTGCCGGTTTTGCCACTATACGTACTTGTTGGTAATGCGACGATGGTTTCTCGCAGATAGGATTCGTACTTCTAAATAACCACAACAAAATTGGAGTAGATTGGTCAAGTAGTTTTTGAGAATTTCTAATTGTTTATACCAAAACTCCTGTTTTCCGGCCATCACTACTAGTTTATTGAGCAATATACAGGGTTAGTTCGAAGAACATTTTATAGCAAAATACACTAGTTCAACTTACCGATATGAACTTGCAAACCATTCCGGAAGATGAGTGTTATTTTAATGCGGAAATGGATGGTTTGCATGTTTTCTTCTAAACAAATTCAAACATTTCGTATTTATGAGTAATTCGCAATAAAACATGATAGACACATCCGATTTGTTTTGAAATGTGTATAGTAACGTATGTTTTTCGAATATCGTAGCGCACGTGTATTTTGCTATTGAATGCTCTTTGAACGAACCCTGTATATTGCTCAATAAACCAGTAGTGATGTCTGGAAAACAGGTGTTTTGGGATAAACAATTAGAACTTGTCAAAAAACTACTTGACCAATATACTCCAATTTTGTTCCTGTTATTTAGAAGTATGAATCCTACGGATTTGAAGAATTTCAAGTAGTTCCGTGAAATTATCGTCGCATTACCAAAAAGTTCCAAAACCTGCATTTCGCCTCGTTTTGCGTCCATAACAGTTTTACTTTCTTTTCACCCTTGGTCTCATTTTGTAGGTCTCATAAATACCTAAAAATCTTATATGAAAAGTTTTCTCGTAGCTGTCAACACTTTCTATTGAACCTCAAAAAACCGTTTTCTCATTCTTTGTTGTCGAAAAAAAGTTTTCCCACAACAATTGGTGTACCCATCTTATGCGTCCATGTTTTAAATACCACCTTGAACAACTTGCTCCGATAAAACCGGACCTTACAATTATTTCGGGGAAATTTGCTAATATGATGATAATATGTAGTTCTTTTCACGGTTTAGGCTGTGAGACTACTAACCAGTAGCCGTGAGCTACGTGGGTTCAAATCCCGCACAAAGAGAAATATTTATATTGGCTATAGATATTGCGATTGTTCGTAGGTGGTAGACGATCTCGAGCGTGGATGTACCACACGGCGGATTTGGGTCCAAAATGAGTTCATGTAACATGCAAACGTGTTCCCCGGCTAGAGTCTGTAGGACGTCCAGCCTTTCTCTTGTATCCCTACATAGCCTCACGGTGGGTATTCACAGATTATTAGCTACACTAGGGGTTTTAGGCCTCAGGCCTGTGACTCGAGTATAAATAAATAAAATATACACAATACGTCTCTATGCGCTGACGCTTATTGTGCATGTGTATGTATCAGACATATGTTTTTCTTTTATCTCACCACCTTGAAATTTTTTTTGTTAAAGTACGAGTTTCCAGATTTATGCTCGTCGCTGTCAGCATGACAACTTGCTTGCCATGGGCCTGCGATTTGAGCTTATCTTTTGGTATAATATAAAACATGGCAATGTTTGAAGATCAACTACTTTGGCTGTGTGAAATTTACTACCAGATTTAGAGGCGGGGCGCGCGCCCCTCCCCTATACATCTGATACTTGCTTTTGCAATCTAACACCATTGTGTTACTTTCTGTCACATCATGGTGACGGAGGCATACTAACTATAAGTTATAGCTATAGGAACTGAGCATTATGCTTTTTTGGTATCCTTTGGTATTCCAAATGCTGTCCCTCTTTGACATCACTTGTTTACAGCACAACTCTTACGATTTATACATATATACGAGTATTGTGACTTGTGACAAATCTAAGTCTGGGTAATATATTAGCTATACAGATTGCACTTTAAAAGTGATTTATGTTCTGTTTGTTGCTCAATAGTAATTTGAAAAGTGTGTAAAGCTTGACTGATTTTGTTCGGGGTTGGTGTTGCAGCGAAAAGCACTATGTTAGATGAATGCCTAAATTGGAAATGGACATTTATGAGATTTGTTTAGCGGTGCGCCTGTGGCCTGTCTAGAAACTGCGTCGATCGATGCTCAAAATCAATACCACACGTCCCCCATCTCTTCTCTCGTAAGTATGTGTCTATTTATGTTGCTATATTGAATTTGTTTAAATCACAGAGCTGCTGCCTTATGCGTGAATATGTACAGCCCTGTATTCCTGTACTTGCTTAATACAAACATACATTAGCAAAATAATTACAATCTAAACCGATATAGTTTTTTCCAAGGATTTCCAACATTTCTACATGCGATCAACACCGGTTCGAAAAATGAGAAAAAAAGCCTAAGTTCGACAACGAAAGTCTGAAAAATAACTGTAAAATCTATATTGAATTTCAAAAACTCCAACCCCTACTGAGCGGGGCCGTGGCAAATGCTTGTTCCGGAAGTTGTTGTATCCAGCATACAACTTCTTCCCGTACAAGTGATTCTACACGCGTTAAGGAATACCTCAGTACCGATTGCCGGGTGGCGGTACAAGTCCGCCAACGGACCACTTTAGGTCTATTTAATATCATTGACACGCAAAAAGAAGGTGGTAGACAAGGACCAGTCGACCGAGGCGGTACCACCCTATAGCTTTTTCCAGGGTGTCCGCATGTTTCCATACCTAATCTATGTAGTCGGTTATCTTCCAAAACAAAGAAATTAATGATGATGGATCCCTCGAGTACTAAGAATTCCGGATGTAAGCTCACTCCACTCCCAGAATATCCGGATGGAGGGTAGACTCGATGGAACAACATCGAAGATAAAATTTATTTCACGAACATCTGCGCGATTAACAACAACATTGATGCTGTTCATCACTACTTGCATTCCAATCGTCCCGCCATGCTTTTCTTGGCGGAGACAAAAATCTCAGAGTCCGCACCGATTAACCATCTTAGCTTACCAAATTACGAGGTGCACTCCAATCTGAGAAAGAACGGGGGAGTTGTGGCCTTTGTCCGCAGCAGAGATGTTTCTCTGGAATCAGACCGGAAGGACATTCTGTGGCTTCGCCTCAAGTCCAAAACATCCCCCAAATTTATTTGCTGTCTTTATCGCTCCCCTCGGACCATAACTGGGATGACCTTCTTGAATACCTCGCCGTCAAGATCGACTTCCTGAACATCAATCACTCCGCTTCAGAGGTGATTTCAATGACCATGATTCGTTTTGGTTGGGCTCAAACAAGACCGATGCAGCAGGTCGTGCAGTTAAAGCGTTCGCTCGTACTCAAGGGCTGACCCAGCTGGTGAGGGGCCCTACTTTTTCCCCCGCGTCTCGTCACATGACAGTATCCTGCTGGATCTCTTTCTGACCACGCATTCTGTCCCTTACAGCTCTGCTACGGACATGCCGACTGGAAGGGGCTCAGAGATTTGTTCTCTACCTTTCCTTGGAGAAATGTCTGCTTCACTGACGCGGATGCGTTGGCTGTCTGTTCTTCGATAACCTAAATTAACCACGTCGGAATGGAAGAATACATGCCTCATACTGCTGATACAATAGAAGTATTGTGTCAGTATTTGCACCATTTACTTGATTTACTAGTAGACCACATTGCGCAATTTGTCTATAGGTAGTCTGGAGACAGTCTCAAGACACGATCTATAGATGGTCTACAGACATCCTTCTTTGACTTGTCTAGCGTCCATACGATAATGTGAATTTTTTGGTCTCATGTTCGTTTTTTATGTTTGAATCTTTAATATTATTATACTAGTTAATCTTAAATGCCACGTACTTATTTTGTTCTCATATAATAAAATATTGGCTTTCTGAGGATTTCTGAGCAATTTCCATGTTTTTTTTTTTCAAGCTGGCCTTGACCAGATAGAACACAATGGATTTGAGGAGCAATAATAGGATAAATTCTAGAAGTACCACTGAAGTAAAAAAATGACCAGCCCCAAATATCGTTTGCGACCCCCCCCCTAGGCGAAATCCTGAATCCGCCCTTGGTGAAATTTTTCGAAGTATCTTCAGAAAGAGAATATAAAAAACGGTACTGTCACCATTTCATGTGTGTGTACGCATTAGTCAGCTGCGTTAAGGATCGATTTGCGCAGTGTGCAATGTCCCTTAAAGAATTTAAGCTCCGCACATGGCACAGTTAGTCAATCTATTTACTTATTTTGTAAGACATTGTAAAGTAACCACCAAAAACCGTGAAAAGATCTATACGCAGTTTTTAGTTTTACTTGGTTTTATCTCACCACACCAAACATCTTGTCGAAATGTGTTCTAAAACTATGCTTGACACCGTCAGACTGACAACACCCTAATCATCGGCAGTGATTTGAATTTACCTTTCTTCGATCTTTCTCTATAAAATATAGCAATGCCTGTAAATACAACAGTGAGAAATGTCGACATTGTCGTGCTAAAATTGGACTTTTATCAGAAAGGCTGTTGAAAGGCCGGCCTTTACCTATGGCAAGTGTGTAAAAAACTGTAGCAGTTGTGTTGAAAATCGCTTTGAGTAGTGTGCATTCTCCTAGTTAGGAAAAATAAGCTACACTCATGACATCGTCGATAGATTACCTATTTGGTATGACATTATTCATCAAAACCAATGTAAATACGTATACGAGGGCGGTTCAATAAGTACCCGTGTTAGAAATGAAGACACCATTTTTAAAAAAAATATCTTTTCATTTTTCAACATAATCCCATTTTAGAAAGATTCACGTTTCCCAAAGTTCCTGCCATTTTTTTAATTCCTCCCAAAAAATATTATTTGTTGAACTCTCCAAAATACGCCTCTGTCCCGGCGATGACTTGCTCGTTTGAGATAATTTTTTCCCCGCGATCCATTTCTTTATGTCAGGAAACAAGAAAAAGTCGCAGGGGGGCAGATCGGGTGAATACGGGGGGTGCGGCAGCACTTCATAACGCAATTCATGCAGTTTGGCGGCGACAACTCCGGACGAATGTGTTGGTGCGTTATCGTGGTGAAACAGCACCCTTTTTTTCGTCAAATGTGGCCGTGTCTCCTTCAATTTATTGTCGAAGCGGTCCAATAACTCACTATAGTTTTGTCCAGTGATCGTTTTTCCCTTTTCTAAATAATCCACGAGGATGACGACGTTCGCATCCCAAAAAATCATCGCCATGACCTTTCAGGCCGATGGGACCGTCTTCGCCTTCTTTGGAGCAGATTCACCGGGAGAAATCCATTGTTTTGATTGTTGCTTAGTATCTGGTGTGTAATGATGAATCCAGGTTTCATCTTCGGTGAAAACTCGACGCAAAAACTCCATCGGATTTCGCTTAAATTGCTCCAAACACTGCTTCGAAGTTAACAGCCTCATCCGCTTGTTGTCCACCGTGAGCAATCGCGGCACCCATGGGGCCAAAATTTTTTTCATAGCCAACTTATCATGTAAAATATTGATTGCCATTCCGGTCGACATACCTACGGCCTCTGTTACTTCGCGCACTTCCGTTCGTCTATCAACGAGAATCATGTCGTGGACTTTTTGAATGATTTCCTCGGTAACCACGTCTGCTGGGCGTCCTGGTAGATCCTCATCAAAAACGGATGTTCGCCCACTTGTGGTCATAGATGGCGACATTCCCCCATAAGCAGCATCCAACTTTGCTTTTATCTCCTCGCATTTTTTCCCATCCGAAAACAAAAAACGAATTACCGAAAGATACTGCTCTTTTTCCATATTAGCGAAAATCACCAAACACGTGTTTGTCGAATGGCTGCCAAATCCAAACTAACCTATCAATCAGTCTAAAATTTGTTGTGCCGTCGTCTGATAGATGGCAGCACACGATGATAACATTAACTTCTCTCAGGAACGCCCTCTGTCGACAAAAACGGGTACTTATTGAACCGCCCTCGTATTTTGGAAACATTAAATTTGGAGAAATATTTTATTTTCCCTGGTAATTTTCGATCGACCTCGTACTTACTTCTTAATTACTTTTGTACTTCTACTACTTTTCCAGGGTGAGGAACAGTTCAGCTCTTCATTGCGCTTTTAATGTGAACCCCTTGTATCTCACCCACGAATTTTCAGGTAATAATAAGAACACTGATAATGACTATACATTATAATTACTATGTTCTGCTGTTTAGGTCTGGCTATAGATTATATGGTGAGTATAATCTACCAGTTTGACGTTGCAAATTGTATACAGTGTGTACGAAAAGTAATGTCACTCTTAGAGTTTTTGTCACCACCGGCATGTTCCAAGTCCAAGTACATTTGTATATTTGTACTTAGTAACTACGATGTTTTTCAATTTTTTTACACCGAAGCAACCGGGCAGGCAGAAACCTAAACGCCAGGGTACCGCGGCTGCTATGAGGAGCTTAAAGAAAATTGTCGATCCGATCTTTGAGCTGCCTAAGGTTAGTAGAACTGGGAAAAGACTCCTCATGTAGATTGTACTACCCTAGGGACAAAGAAGCGGACGTATCGGCCAGTTCTGCATGTACGAAGTTTGACACGGTTAGGATGGGAGGCCGAAGTCAGGCGGGTCTGTCTAGCAGGCACATCGCGCAGCGGCATCATGGAGCAAAACCCGTTGGTGTAGCGGTAAAAGAGAGCTAGATCGCCGACGGCCCGCCGGTTGTGTTAGAGAAAATGTATCGATTAGTTGGATAGCCCTCCTCTGAACAGCATTGAGCATGGATAATGTAGTTGGGGCGGTAGCATCCCAAACATGTGAACAATACTCGAGACTGGCTCTTATCTGGGCCTTGAATAGAGTGAGGAGGTCATGTGGAGAAAAGCACTTCTTAGCCCCAAACAAATACCCTAGCTTTTTCCCAGCAGCTGCCGCTATTGATATGTATGTTGGCATTTCTTGAAACAATCTCTAGGATAAGTCTGTTGGTTTTTTTTTAAGTCAAGATACTTCCCTATCCTCGATGTTCTCTTATCTGCATGTAGATGTTAGTCCACAAATCACAGAATCAACGAGTTCATATTTCTAGCTCACTCATAAGAGTCAGTTCTCACCGAGAGCAACTGACAACTGCAGCCCGACCACAACCCGACTCAGTACCTACAAGTATTCACAGACGCTCTCACGAAGGAGATGGTGACACAACCAGTTGCTCAAGGGTTGTTAGCACTGTTGTCGATAGGCGCTGTTGCTGGTGAAAGATGCCATCTACTGTGGATGTGATTGTTATACTTCAGTTAGCTTTCCAATCGTATCATCAAAAAATCAGTGATAGGGGTATAAAAATACTTGCCGATTGCATTTTTGTGTTCTTTGAAGTGATTCAGCTGGAGCGGTACTGTTGGAAACCTTGCAGGAGAGCTACTGATACCACAAGAAATGTGGCAAGCAAGTTAATAATCTACGGACCAACCTTCTCAAGAAATTTGTTTACATGCAAGGTGTTACCGCAAATCACTCATTGCACATACAGGGTGTTACTTAATGTGTGAATGTACATGAAAAATTAATGTTAGTTTGCTTTATAAACTATGGTTCAAAAATTTTTCCTTACAAAAACTCGGGGTGTTAAATGTTTTAGGAAAAAAATGGAAGTTAATTAATATTTCCAGAACCGCTTCAGATATTTCACTGATATTTGGTACGTAGTGAAAGTTAATAAAGTTGCATATTTTTCAATGCAAAAATAAATTTTAGCTTTAACAGTGGCGTGCGTACGGGTATTGACTTCAATATTTTTTAAGAAAAAAATGGTACGCCAATGGTTCTTTGCCAAATAAAAATTATTTTTGAATTTACCGTTCAATTCGAAACAAATGATTTCTTTTGAATTGTTCTCCTTCGATGCGCCATTTTCGAGTAAAAAAGTAAAAACCGTTCTATTGTCCGAGAAAATAATGTAATAATTGAGGAATGCAATTTAACAATAAATATCTAGTTGCTCTGGAATATGTCACAGGCTTTTGACATCTGACAAGTCTCTCTGTTATTCAAATCTGTTCGCTGTGACATCTTTTTCTTTATATAGTTTTTACTATCTTGTTAATAATGGTGAATTGTTCAAATGCAGAAATGGCGGAAATGCATTACGTATATGGACTTGCCGACGGTAATGGTGAGCAAGCCAACCTTTTCTAATATTCATCGTCATCTTGTTGAAACTGGTTCTGTTCGAAAAGGAACATCTGAAGGTAGACCTCTAAGTGTGAGAACACCTGAACACATACGAAGTCGAAGAACATCCTGAAACGAGTACGAGGAAGATCGTTAGACACTTAAATATTTGCCATCAAATTGTTTGGACAATTTTAGTGGATTTTTTGTTATATACTTACCATATTTTAAGGGTACAGGCTTTACTTCCCATTGATTTTCTAAGGCGTGTGACCTTTTGTCAGTGGTCTCTTCAAAAAATTACACAAAATTCGCAATTTGATTCAATGATTCTGTTCACGGACGAAGCTAATTTTTCTCGAAATGCCATTCAGAATTTTCACAATAATCATTTGTGGGCAGAAGAAAATCCCTATGCCGTAACCGAAACCCATTTCCAACACCAATTTTCGGTTAACGGATGAGCAAGAATTATTGGCAACCTCTTTATTGGCCCATTCTTCAATATGTGGTACATGCATGATGGTGCATCAGCGCATTTCATTTTAGCGGTTCGTAATTATTTACAAACTGTTTATCCAAATCGTTGGATTGGCCGCGGTGGGCCCCAAGAATGGCCACCAAGGTCCCCAGACCTCAACAGTTTAGATTTCTTTTTGTGGGGCTATCTTAAGACCCTAGTGTACACAAGTCTCATCAACACTGTAGAGGAATTAAGAGAAAGAATAGTTGCAGCTTGTGATAGAATAAAAAACACTCCAGGGATATTTCAACGAGTGCCCATTTCCATGAGAAGAGGGCGGAACCATGCATACTAAGTGAAGGGGGCCATTTTCAACAATTTTTGTAATCATTTCGTTGGTTTTAGTGTTATGTTTATGTTGTCAGTTGTTGTTGTTCATTACCCGTAATACGTTTAATTTTTCCAATTAAATTAATAATAATTTTGCAAGTTAAACAATAGAACGGTTTTTATTTTTTTACTCAAAAATGGCGCATCGAAGGAAAACAGTTTAAGAAAGATCATTTGTTTTAAATTCCACGGGGAATTCAAAAATAATTTTTATTTGGCAAAAAACTATTGGCGTACCATTTTTTTCTTGAAAAATATAGAAGTCAATACCCGTATGCACGCCACTGTTAAAGCAAAAATTATTTTTGCATTGAAAAATATGCAACTTTATTAACTTTCACTACGTACTAAATATCAGTGAAATATCTAAAGCGGTTCTGAAAATATTAATTAATTTACAAGTTTTTCTAAGTAAACATTTTTGAACCATAGTTTATAAAGCAAACTAACATTCATTTCTCATGTAGATTCTTACCCTTAAATATTCGCATATTATTATTATCAGTTATGTATTAGCAGTCTTTTGGTAAATAACAAATACTGCTCACGCTGATCGTTCTAGCCTGATTTTTATTTAATACGTTACTTACCTATTAGATTCTTCTCCAATCAGGTTTTTTAAGAATGGTTATATATTCCACCTCTTGATAAAGTATACAAGTAATATACTTACTAATAGGTACCATATACAAAACGAGATTACCAGTTGCTTAGCAGATGCTTCAGTGGAGTGCAAAAGCAACGTAACCGAAAGTCTAATTCGAGTTGAACTCCGGTTGCGGTAGGGTTGCTTTTGGTAAGAGTGAGACCCAATGTTTGTATATTATAATCCACCAATAATAATAATAAACGGCGTAAGTGGTGGAGTTTAGCTCAGCTATTCTTACATCAAACCGTAAGTACTTCGGAATAAGCTTTCCTTTCTAAAACAAAGCTGGAGAGTCTAGATGTCAACAAGAACTTATTTCAAAACCTCGTGCTTATGTTGTACCAGTTGTACCATTGCACTGATTAAGGTATCATCTTCTTCTTAAACCACGGTTGCGCACTTTGAATAAGCAGGCGAAGCAATTGAAGTGAAATGAAATTATGCATGCTTTGAACTTATGTTACAACTATCCGTTTTGGGGCTATGGATGTCCTTCACACATACTTAATAAAGGTTTACTGAAACACTGATCTTTTTCAATTTTCAGCATTGGCAGATACCTCTGAGCAAAAGATTCAGGTCGCTGAAACTATGGTTTGTCATGAGAAATTATGGAGTTAAAGGATTACAAGAACATATTAGAAAGGTAATTACATAAATTCACCTGAAAAAGTTATTTTCGATTATTATAAATATTCCTAAGGCGATAGTACTGAAGTTAAAGGGCTAATCCGCTCTCGACAGTGTCAAGCGAGAACCACTGGACTAACTGTCCGGATCCACGGAGTGGTATCACTTTGTCCGACGAAAACTGTCTTCTACCTATTTTTGGAAATAATGTCGTATACTCCAAAGTAATCCATATCTGATTCAGTATTATTTTAGGGGGTAATGTTGGCTGAGAAGTTCGAGACTCTTGTAAAATCAGATCCACGTTTCGAAGTTCCCGCCAGGAGACATTTAGGACTAGTAGTTTTTTGCTTAAAAGGGAACATCAAGACAACAGAAGCACTCCTCAAAAGGATAAACTCCAGGGGTAAGATACATTGCGTGCCAGCCAACTTGAAAGGTAAGGAATCACAAATCTAAACATAGGCGAGGAAATAATTCCTTTCTATAAATACCGCCTGTTTAAACTTATCCTTTTTTGATAGTTTACCTTACTTGTCTCGAAAACAGAATGCTATATTGAGATGAGATTTGGACACACAAATACGTAGAAAATTATTTTTCGGGGTCTTTATTGATATATAGGGCGCTCGTACCGACAAAACTCTATATTTAGTGAAAAACAGCACCCCACTGATTTTTGCAAGCATGAGTATCGGTATTTTAAAGTCGGAATAATTCTACTCAGAATTATCTTGCTTATATTTTCTCTCTCTCTCTCTTCCTTTTTCCTCTTCCCCTTTTTTGGGGTTAGATAGCGTCGATTAATTACGTGAAACGTTTTTGACGATCTTTTGACCCTCTCTCCTTCTCTGATGATATCTCATGAGATTTAACTCAACCTCCACACATCGTCCCTAATCATTCAAGAAGGCCCAGCTGCCCTGACTCCACAATCGATGAGCGACTACTCTCGCTTCACCGCGGATCACCAGATCAACGGTGGGAGACCCAACAGAGCTTCCATTGCACTCAATGGCGTTGTTCGCACTGCGCCTGTTATGCTAATGCAGACCAAACGCTGAATTTTATTGAGTTTGGCATTAGTTGTCTCAGATCTAATGCAAGGCCACCAGACTAGGGAGCCATACAAGAGAGATGGACGTACTATCGTCGTGTATAGCCAGTATACCACTTTGGGTTCAAGCCCCCACCTTACACCAACAACACGTCTACAGGCCCACATTGAATTGCGAGCCTTGTTAACCTTGTATTCAACATGCTCTCTCCAGTTCAGTTTGCAATCCAGGATAATTCCCAGATATTTCACAGATTCGGATAGGACTAATTTAGTCCCAAAGAGGGCAAGACCTGCCCGTCAAGCCTTCTTCTCCTAGTGAATACCATCAGCTCGGTCTTTCCAGCATTAACAGAAAGATCGACTTCCCTGCACCAGGACTCCACAGAGCGCAGAGCGCCCTGCATAATTTCAGAGACTGTTCTACAAAAACGACCCCTAACTACTATGCTTAAGTCATCAGCATAGGCTTGCACGTAGAAACCCACCCTGCTGAGACTAACGAGGAGTTCGTTCACCACGAGGCACCACAGTAGGGGTGACAGAACTCCGCCATGAGGGCAGTCTCTAGCTACGCTACGCTGCAGCTTACGTCATTAAGCATAGCTGTTGCTACCCGACCCTCCAGAGTAGATATGACCCAATCTATTAGGATTGATCCAACCCCGTGTCTAACCAAGGCATGTCTGATAGAGTCGGTTGTAGTGCAATTAAATGCACCTTCTCGCTTATCTAGAGTCTCCTCCAGCCTACCGACCAGATTGTGTAAGGCCAGATCAGTCGATTTTCCAGCTTGGTATGCAAACTGAACGGGATGAATACCACACCTCTCCAGCGGGCCATCCCTTAAGGATACTTACTTGATAGATATATCAACTATCCTTTCCAATGTCTTGAGCACAAAATCCTTCGGGCCAGTATATCTAGCTCTGCCCGGTTTAGGAATGAATACTACTATAGCCTGCCGCCAGCTTCTAGGTGTGAAGCCCGTGGCCACACATGCTCGAAACAGCTTCAACAGGTGAGGAACAACCGAACCCCGTACCTGCTGTAACATGACCGGAAATATGCCGTCCAAACCTGGACTTTTGTATGGAGCAAACGAATCTATCGTCTATACCGTCCTTTCGAAGGTGACAATCTCCCTAGCCGTGCGTCAGTCCTCCCCTGAGGGCATGCGCAACTGCATGCACTCTATGATTGATCGCGCTACTGAAAAAAATCTATAAAGAAACCGTAGTATATAGATGGGAGAAGGGAGGGGCATTAAAATATAAAATGCCACTACAAACAATGCTCTGCACAACGCACATTATATTGTTATTAATTTCTATAGTACAGCTGTCTTCTCACACATATCGCTTATTAAATGTAATATACAGGGTGACTTTGAAGTTGAGTCATTAATTTTCAGATAATGATTGTAGAAGGAAGATAAACCAAAATATGTATGTAAAAATGAAAAAAAATTAAAAAAAAATTTTTACCTTGTTTTATAAAGTATCCTCACGACAAGTATTTCAGTGCGGACCTGTATTTTCTCGTGCGGTCTTGGAGCACCGGCATGCCCTCACCTGTGAGGTCTTAAGTCACCTGATTTACGAGCCCTTTGTACTACATTAACAAAGGCACGAGGGGTTGGTTGCACTCGATTGGGAAACCGATCCGCATAAATCCGTGATGCCGCGTAAATAAGAATCATGTCCACAAGTTCAGCATTTTCGTAAACATGTGCCATTTTTTATTTCGTTTGAGCCACGCAATAAACATCACTATTCACTCACGCGTTACCGACTGACACTGACTGAATACGACTGAATAAAATTGTAAAAACATCGTTCCAAATTCTTTCGCTTTTTTGTTTCCGATGCGATGAACCGATAAGGCGGATTATATCCGTTGTTGCTAAACACGAGCACATAATATTATTATTGAGACAGGGCGGTACTCAAACTTCCAAAGGGCTATAACTTTGTTACTTTAATTTTACCAGAAAAATGGTAAAGGAAAAAAACATTTCTTTTGATCAGATCTACTCACTGTTAAAATAAATGACTCAACTTCGAAGTTGTTCTGAGATGAGACAAACCCCACTAGGTTGATTACAAGCTAAATATTACACGTTTCGAAACATTTCTTCAAGGTCGCTTTCTGGAAACTGCAATCGATACCCGTGAAGTGCGCATCCATCAGAAACCTCAGAGTACCTTCCTTAGAAGTGGTATTTCCTCCCTAAGGAGCATACAGAGATCCCAATCTTGTTTTAATGTCTTTGCATAGGACCCTGTGTATTCTAGCAGTGGCAGGAATATCATTTATGGACTGACGGAAGTTCCTCCAGGATTCACTGGAGGCCCTTCTAATCTCCTTTTTCTATTCTTACAACGCCTTCATGTAGTCTTCCCATTGAGGAAAACTTCTCATATGCTTAACTCTGCTAAGAAGTTTGTGCACCGCTGGTTTTCTATCATCTAATTCTGAACTATGCGTAACGGGCAGTTTTCCTCATACGAAGCCGTCAAGTCCCTGCTCAGAGACTCGACGGATGCTTCTATATCAGAGCCCCTACAAAGTCTGTCTGGGACCCCTCCAAGCTTACTGTCAAGGTCTGCCCTGAAGGACCCCCATCTAGTATGATATCCTGAGCTAAGTTAAACGTGCCCAGTGTTACGTCGATAACCTCTTCTCTGACACTATTGCTGAAAGTAGGCGTGTTGCCGACATTCAGAACCTCAAGGTTCGATGCCCCTAGGAACTCGATGAGGTCTTCGCCCCGTCTGTTGGTGTTCGAGCTGCCCCACATGACGTGATGGGCATTGCTGTCGCATCCAATCACGAGGTCCAGAATCCTACAGAATGCGACAAGGTCCCCCAGTTCTTTAGACGGAGAAGGTTCTCTTGAGTCGTAAGGAAGGTAAGCCGAACATACGACCAGGTCCCTGTCAGCGCCTTCCTTCTTATATCTAATTCTAACTGCAACTAAGTCTCTGAAGGTAATTTCTTTAAGTTGCCATGTTTTAATGGAAGTCATTACGGAAGCTCTGGGCTTAGTGTCCGGAGTATCGCTAAAAAGCGTATAGCCCGGTACACTGAGCCCGTTTACTGAACCGTTTCTCAGCCAGGGTTCCTGGATGAGAGCCACGTAATCTCAGCGAAGGTCATACGGACCGCTCTGACAACCAGCGATGATAAATTGACTTTCCGAAATAAACCATATTTCATCGCAGAACATCATCCTGTTCATCGTTATTAGAAAACAGTAATCGAGTTGCCAATTTATTAATGAGTATAAGAAAAACAAAAAGAAACACTTCACAAGCACAGTCGATATGACTTGAAGAAAATGACACTTATTTTTGCAAAAACTAGTGGCGTACAATTTTTCGCTAACATTAAGTTTAAACATGGAAACAGAGAATTATTTGTATTTTCACATGCCGTCAAATTTTCCTGAGATACTATCATTTGGTAGGAGCTGCCATCTATTCTGGATTAGTGATTTGGACCTTTTATTGCTTTTGTTGTTGAACTCTTTTCATTACCATTTTTTTTCTTGTGATTGTATTGTGTGACTTAATAACATATTTCGTCTAATGATGTCAATATTTAAGGCAAGTACGTGATAAGGTTTTGTATCGCGTCACCGAGAACTACTGTACAAGATATCGAATCTGACTGGAAGGAAATAGTTGATGTTACCAATGACCTGCTGAGCGGAAATTGCTCAGCTAGAGCTCCAGAAGGTATTCATTTACCCAAAGGTTTTCAATGTTTTGCATGATGTCGTTTTTAAGGCAATAATGACAGCTTCGGTTCAAGTCTACTATTATCGAATACTCCCTTAAGCCCCACAATCGTCAATGGATCATTCGCTGCTTTGCATCAAGAGGGAAAAGTTTTGGATGAATTCTCGAAGATTATTAGCATTCCAAGAGATAACTTCGGTAAAACATATGTATAACAGAGAAATTTGCCACTGAGAGAATACGAGGTCTGTAAATTAAGTGATAAGGCTGTTTTTTATTTTTTTATTCAAATATAATTTACATTGTCACCCTCAAAATAACTTACTTCTGAAACCACACAGCGCTGGAGACGGTTCTTCCACTTCTCATAGCGATGCTGGAATAGCCTTCAGCTGGTCGCTGACAGTCATTTGAATGTTTTCGACTGTCCCAAAATGAGTCACAAGGACTCAAGTCAGGCGAACTCTACCTGCAATCCAATCGTCCCGCCATGCTTTTCTTGGCTGAGACAAAAATCTCAGAGTCTGCACCATCTTAGCTTCCCAAATTACGAGGTGCACTCCAATCTGAGGAAGCAGCAGTCTTTCCTGCTCCAGAGGTATTTCTTTGGAATCACACCGGAAGGACATTCTGTGGCTTCGCGTCAACTGTAAAACATCCCCCAAATTTATTTGCTGCCTTTATCGCTCTCCCTCGGACCATAACTGGGATGACCTACTTGAATACCTCGCCGTCAAGATCGACTTCTTGAAGATCAATCACCCCGCTTCAGAGGTAGTTCTCCTCAGTGATTTCAATGCCCATAATGAGCTTTGATTGGGCTCAAACAAGACCGATGCAGCGGGTCGTGCAGTTGAAGCGTTTGCTCTTACTCAAGCCCTACTTTTCTCCCCCGCGTCTCGTCACATGCCAGTAGCCTGCTGGATCTCTTTCTGACCACGCATTCTTTACAGCACTGCTGTCCTGTTCCCCCTCGGTAACTCAGTCCACGGTGTGGTGGAGGTTAGGTTTCGGTCAGAACCCGCTGTGGCAGCAGAAACTCGTCCAGTTCGCAAAATTTGGCATTACGGACATGCCGACTGGGAGGGGCTCAGAAACTTTTTCTCTATCTTTCCTTGGAGAGATGTTCGCTGACGCGAATGCGTCGGCTGTCTGTTCTTCGATAACTGAGATTATCCACGTCAGAACGGATGACTATATCCCTCATACAGTGAAAGCGCCTAAACAAGGGTCCAACGGCTGGTTTAACAAATAGTGTGGCACTGATCGCCAGGACAAGATCAAGGCACACAGAATCTTCTTACAAAACCCCAGTCCAGAAACGAATACAACGAAACGGTTCGCAATACTAAAAACCAGCACGACATAAAAGTTAGGCACACTGTAATGTCGCAGCGCAATGGCAGTCAGTCTTTCGGGACGCTGGTTAAGCAGATTGAAAAGAACTTCTCACACAGTAGCCTTCCACCACTTACGTGTCAGTATGGAACGATTGTATCCGACTGAAAAGCTAAGACGGAAGTGCTTGCCAAGATCTTTGCCGTCAACTCCACCATGGTCGTCCCCTACCGCCCAAGTGCCGTCAATTCAAAGGGTTCCCTACAGTATGCGGGAGGTAACTTTCAGGCATAAGACCGTAAGACGAGTGCTCTTGTCGCTTGACATCAACAAAGCTTCTGGTCCGGACTTGATTCCTGGCATTATACTGAAGAGGTGTGTAGCGGAGCTTGCTCCAGTTCTTTCGCGCCTCTTCCAGATGTCTTATGAATCCGGAACCTTCCCAGAAAACTGGAAATTTGCTCATGTCCAATTCATACTAAAAAAAGGATGTAAGACCGACCCTTACAACTACAGGCCTAAAGCTCTGCGTTCTGTTATAAGTAAGGTGATGGATAGGTGCATAAATCGCGAACTTTTGGACTACCTCGACCGTCACAGCTTGATTAGCGACAGGCAGTATGGTTTCCGGCACCAGCGATGCACAGGGGACCTTCTAGCTTACGTCACGCAATTGTGGAGCAAACTCATTCAGTCTTATGGTGAGGCTCATGTCGTTGCTCTTGACATCCCGAAAGCGTTCGATTAGCTGGGGCACGCTGCCCTCTTAAGCAAACTTCCATCCTATGGCCTCCCAGAAAAGCTTTGCAGATGAATGGCTGACTTTATTTCTGGTCGCAAGATATCCGTCGTAATTGACGGGTTTTCCTCTTCATCCCACAACGTGTTCCCCAGGGATCGGTGTTGGCTCCGACACTGTTTCTCTTACATATCAACGACCTCCTTTCCTGCACGATCAACCCGATCCACAGCTTCACTGATGACAGCACTCTACATGCAGGAATTCAGAGCGACAAGCCGACCTCTGCCGCTGAGCTGGCAAAAAGAAGACTAGTGACGACTTCATCTCTGACGAGAGACCTGGAGGTTATCACTGCTTGGGAACGCAACAATCTTGTACAGTTTAATGCTACCAAAACACAGTACTGTACCTTGACGAACAAAAAGCATCTTAGTGCTCATCCGGTGTCGATGGATGGCCGAGTTCTTCCAAAGAGCCATTCATTTCGGCTGGTCGGAGTCCAGATCACCGAGGACCTGATCTGGCACGAACACGTCTCGTCAATAGCGGCAGCTGCTGAGAAAAAGCTAGGCTATTTGTTTAGGGCTAAGAAGTACTTCTCTCCGCATGACCTTTTCACCCTATACAAGGCCCAGATAAGGCCTAGCCTTCAGTATTGCTCACACGCTTGGGTTGCTGCAGCCCCGACTACATTATTTATGCTCGATGCTGTCCAGAGGAGGGGTCTGACTGATCGATGACTCTTCTCTAACAGACAGTCTCGAGACCCTTTCGCACCAGCGGGCCGTCGGCGATCTAGCTCTCTTCTACCGCTACACCAACGGGCTTTGCTCCTCAGAGCTCTCTTCCATGATACCGCCGCGCTGTGTGCTGCCAGACAGTCTCGCCTGACCTTGGCCTCCCATCCTAATCGTGTTGAGCTTCGTACATCCAGAACTGGCTGATACGACCGCTCCTTTGTCGCGACGATGTCGAGATTGTGGAACAATCTACAAGAGGAAGCTTTTTCCAGTTCTACTAACCTTAGGCAGTTCAAAAGTCGGATTAACAAAATTTCTTTTGGATCATCAGAGCGGCTGCTTTGGTATAAAAAAAGAATAAGGAGGCTGAGGAGCCAGAATGTCTTTACTGGCCAAAAACTCGCTTATTGACATTGTTGTGTAACAAAGAGCATTATCGTGATGCAATACCCAATTGTTCTTGATCTAATGAACGGTGGTGTGTGTCAAATTTAATTATGTCGATATTTTAATCGGTTCTTGAAGATGAATGCCTTCCACTTCATGATTCATCTTCAATCAACCCTTTCGCTTCTGAAAATGCCTTAAGCCACCGAAAAAGTTGGACTCTTGACAAAACACTGTCTCCGTAGCCCTGCTGAAGTTTAGCAAGAGTTTCCGATGCACTGTGCCCAAGTCTGATACAAAACCTGATAGCACACTGTTGCTCGAAATTGTTGTATTTCATTTTTAGAACACAATAATAAAAACTGTTTCACAAAAAAATCGTTACGGACAAACAAATCGCTCGAGTGAGTTCAAACTTTTACTAAAGGCGAATCACATGTTCTCGTGGCTCCTCCTTTAGCCTGACGCCTCCATTATTGCCAGATCGACCGTTCCGTTTTGCCTGTATCATCACTTAATTTACAGACCTCGTATATTAGGCCCAGATCTAATAAAACTTTATCTACATCAAGAAAATCATAGCATAAATGCAGTATATATACAGGGTATCCTAAAATCAGATATCAATATAATAATAATACTCTTTATTCATAAGGACATTACATTTTAAAACGGCGAAGTTTAGCTCATGTAGGTATTCTTCCACTTGACCCAAAGCTATTCTTCCACTTGATATAGAAAAAAAATACAAATAATGTCCTATGGGGTTTTAATGCCAAGATACAGGTCTCTAATATCGCCACTGGAGATAAGTTTTTCCATTGATTCTATCGGATGATAGCCAACTATATTCTCACGTCCGAAAAATTATCCGACATGAAATGATATACCGTAGCGTCATCGATGAGAACTTGCCGCAGCTATCATTATCCGTTCCGCAATAATTAGGAATCTACTTTGAAAGCGTTAGTGTCTCATAGCTGGCGCTGATGCCAACTATTTATGAGCACATTGCTACAGCATCACCTACAAAACACTAAGCTTTCCAAAGTGGACTTTTAATTATTGCGGAGAGGGAGAGGATAAACAATGCTGTCACAAATTCCATAGGTAACGCTACTGTATCTCATATCATCTCGGATAATTTTTTATATTTTAAACGTATTAGGTTGGCTATATTCAGATAGAATACGTTAATCAATGGTTTTTCTAGAATCACTTTTGAAAGAAACTATACAAGTATAATTTAATTAAATTCTGATTGCGTAGTAACCAATTCGAGACTCACATGATGGTTTCTTTAGAAAACTCATTTAAATAGCCAGGGACAAACTAGCCCAAGTACAGTATCGCTAGAAAAATAGCAATCTTTATAGTAATGGCTCAAGGATGACTTTTTTGGAAGGCTGACCTTTGAATTGAAAAAATACTTTTATTTGATATCGATAAAATTCGTCGTTTTTGAGAAAACATCTATATTCCAGTACAGTTGTATCAATTCCCCTACGGGATCCAATATTTTGGTTCAATATTGAGTAGGTTATAATCAGTGACCTAAAAAAACCCAGGTTATAAATTTTTAAATGACTTTATCTAATTTAAGTTTGTTTAGCAATGCCTGAGAATTGGTTGTTTCTCTCAAAAAAGCCTCATTTTATCGAAATACATTTTTCAGCCGACAGTGGCGGACCTAGAAGTAGGAAGCGTGAGGCGCGCCCCCGCTAGACTCCCATACCTGCCATTTTATCAAGAAAATGCTATACATCTATTGCTGTATATTGTATGAAAATTACCGTGCTAGAAGTCTTATTCTGGACCACCCTGTATACTTCAAAGTTTTTTACTAGAGAAAGAGAGAGACGTTTAATTAGGGTTGCCTACCCCGATCCTGCCGTAGATCTGTTTAATCATGGCTTAATTGCTCATCACGACCAACCTAATGACAATAGTAAAATGCATGTACTGGGGTAGATAAAGTGATATGGGATCTAGGCAGGTCCATCTAGGCCTATTCTTATTACAAAAGAAATAATATTTTATTTTTTATAGATGCTTTATGCATGCAGACTATGACAGTTTGGTTTCTGTAGTGCAGTCTGCGAAAACTAAAGTTCGCCAACAGGTAAGGTAAAAAAATCTCTTTAGAATGAAGTAATTTCAAAATACTCTTTAGGGCCTTGGAGAGTAAGGCTTAGACACTTGGCGATCTCAGAAATTATAATTTCCAACTGAATTTTCAAGAATTGAATATACCCATTTTTAGGACTTTCCAGGCATTAAATCGCTTATAACTCGAAAATGGTCACCTTTAGAGAAACATTAATGAAATCCTTTTTTGTTCAACATTATCAAAAAAGACCTGAAAAATTTAATTTATTTAAAAATTGGTCAAACTAATTTGATCTGGGTTACTTTACGGTAATATTCAATGCTTAAAAACCAAATAAAATTATATGTTTAGAGGTCTCAAAGTATCTAAATTAAAGATAAAACCATGCTCTATAAGACCTTGAAGAGTATTTTGACATTAGTTTATTTTAAAGTGATTTCAACCATGTTTTTCAGGCCAAAACTGGCGAACTTTTGATTTATGCAGACTGTACATAGTATAAAATATTTCTGTCAAGTATTGGGAATAAATTACTGAATTATATTTTTAGCTATGCGTAAACGAGTGAGGGGCATTTTAATGTCAGGAAAGAAATTTTCTTTGGACTCTAGACTGGATTTATTTCAAGCTTTGTATACTGACAAAAAACTACGAACAGTGAAGGATATCAAGGAAAGCAGAAAACAATGTGGTGAGTTTATTATACCGGGTAAGAGATACGAAGAGGGTTAAATGGGGGCAAAGGAGAAGGCACTTAGTAAGTTGCACAATTCCGAGTGTTTCCGGGGGTGACGAAAGAAACCGAATTTTCCCATTTCGAGCTAAAAAGCACATTAACATTGCATTTTTTCTCCTCTACATGATGTCATAATTAGAATTTCAATATGACGTTTCGTCTCTCGTCTTCAATCAACTTTATTTTATTTTTTCTTATAGAAGCCGTATATTGGATTGGCACAGGTGAATAGAGTTTTTAATTCTGATTCTAATTAGATACACTGACATTGTTAAACCAAAGTTATAAAAAAAACTAATATTTTCATAGTACAATATGGCGTGTATAAGAGAAAAAAAAGTTGACGATTGAGGCGAGAGATGAAACGGCATACTGAAATTCTAATTATGTCACTTTGTAGAGAAAAAAAGTGGCAAAGTTAATGTACTTTTTATTATGAAATCAAATCTCAAATAAAGACGGGAAAAACAAAAAGGATTTTGGGAAAATTCAGTTTCTTTCGTGTATCTCCGGAAACACACCGACTCCGTTTCCCTTAATTTGCGTTTACTTTTAGATAAGCAGTTTGAAAATAAGGCTTGAAAATCTAGAAATTATATGGTTTTTGAAAAGCGTGAAATTTTTCTCTATGAGAAACTCCGAACTTTCAGTACTTTTGAATGCCTTAGTCATTCATTTTTTATATCTCAATCTATTCATACATATTTTCATTTATATTCTGCAAATTTCTTATTTTTTTCGTACGTCGGGAAACGTGAAATTATAATATCGCTAGCAAAATTGCATCTTATATCTCTATATAATTCTGATTGTTCGCAAACTCTCTCATCATAAACCTATAAAACCTTTTATAAGATGTGAAATACAGTTACTCTGAATCTTCTTAAAAGTAGCAGCGGTTGGTTCATCTTATGGATAATGGGTGTACAACTTCCGTGATATATTAATCCAAATATGTTAATATGGGAATTTTTCAAGAATAAACTTATGAAAAACGTGCCGTGAGAATGTGTTTGTCGAGATTTTATTGCTGTATGTATGTAATTTTTATAGAACACAGCATGTAAAACATTTTTAAGAGAATCATGGTAAATATGTCCTCGTACAAGTTCATACTGTAATTCCTAGAAAAGGGACCGAACATTGTGCACTACATGAAATCTACATTCGATCTGATTCGCCACTGGATCAACATTTCTTGACGTTACAGATCCAGAATCATTACAGTTTTCAGAAGAGTCTACACCAGTGACGTCACCAAAAGGCTCTCCATTGAAGAAAAATACTTGTGAGAAATGCGGTCACTCTACTTATGGGTATAAAATAAAAAACAGTAAAAACAAATAGATGTGTAATCAAGTCAGCATATGCTTATACTACAAATAAAGCCTATAAATATTCCCCAACATTTATTTCTATTTTAAGCTAGTGTAGCATTGTTATAAATCATAATTCCCTATGCTTGTCTGGCCGAAACAAAACCACATACGTTTAAAATTCTTCTTTATTGAACGATGACCTTCCTTTTGGGAGCGAAACGTCGTTCAATAAAGAGGTATTTCAAATATACACATATGTGGTTTTGATTCGCCCAGAGGATTATGAACATGAAATCCACAGGGTAAGTTTATCGTTTATCGAAAAATTGGCAATAGAAAATTATAAAAACTTCTTCTTCTCTAACTGATGTAAGGAATTCGGTTAAAATATTTTCAAAATGGTGGTCCATCCGGTTGTACCAGAGGTAGATACTAACTTGCTTATTTTAAATGGAACGCCCTGTATAGTATTCAAAATTGAAATCTACGCATAATTTCGATAATGCGATATATATATAAAATCCTATATCTAACTCTGACCATTTTTGAGATATATAAAATTTTGTTTAAAAAATCAAAAATCCAGGCCCATTGATACTTATAAGTTTTTCGTACATTTTTGTCTTTGCCGAAATTCATATATATTTATAAATGCCTACTGGTAGAAGGAGGACTACTTTAGTGTACTGAATGGTCAAAAAATTCGATGAAAATCAATTTGTAAGAAATTCCAAGTCAATTTTTTCAAATGGAAACCACCTGTTTCCATCATGTTAGTAGTTTTGAAAATATTTGCAAATACTCGTGTTCTTTCAATGTGTACTTTTTATTTATGGGTATGGTGAATTATTAAAAATGTGTCATTATCTATATATTTTTCATATGTGCTGGTGCACATATTGCACATAAAAAAGAGAAAAAAAATAAGTTCATTTTTGTGGTCTCCAACCACGGTTGCGATGTGGCAGTAAGTATCGAGACCACTACATTTTGTTATAATAGCGAAAAATTTCGAAAATGAGACATTATGTTTTTTGGAATTATATCACATGTACATCACGAAAAACCATGTCACTCATTTCTGTCGGTCTGCCTGTCTGTTTATCCGCTAATCTTAAACTATGCCCATCAATATGAGTCCCCAAAAATTCGGTTTCGTCTGAAAAGAATGGATGTAGCGGTGGTTTGTTGTAACAAAGGTGTACGTATAAAGTTTTGTTCAAATTGTTTATTAATCGATTTGAATCACACCACTCGCTCATTTCTGATTCTAGCTGCTTTATAGTTTGAAGCAGGCCACTCGGTGTTCCGGTGCTAACCACTACTGACGTGTCATCGGCGTAGTTGATCATGAAGCCAGTGAGTTTTAGGTCGTTTATATACAAAATGAAAAGGAGTCGTGTCAGTACTGAGCTTTGGGTTGCACCAATGTTTCTCTTATGACCTCGGTAAAACTATCCATCTATCAGACAAATTAAAATGTTGATAAGTTCAAATCACGCAATTCGCCCTACACGTCTCGACTTCTCAACCTTGCCTTGGCAGCAAAGCTAAAGGAATACATCGACCTTCTTTTTGCCTCGTCGCATACCATAGGCGTGCGGCGTATATTTTACCACTTGTGGAAATACCATTTCCTAAACCTCAAGTCTCGCCCTTCTAGCAAAGTTGGGTATGGCCTTGAGACCCAGCTCCTTAACGTTCTGGCGATCCAAGGTGATTGACCCCAGTATAGTCTGCCTGTAGTAACTCAGAGTCTCACAGCGACACAGAACAGGCCCCGAGGTCTATTCCTGTAGAGATCGCAACGTTCACACAAGGGATCCTCAGTCAGTGTCAACCTACCTGACGCCATTTTTTCAGCTGAAGGATTAATATTCTCAAAGGTATTATTTCTGAGATATTACTAGACAGAGTGTAAGTGAAATCAGCAAGGTTATTCAAGTAAAAACGGTTTTTACTACCAACCTATGGGTGCCTGCATCACCGTAATGGCAGCCCCGTGAGACGTTTTATAGAAATTTGTGGTATTATTTCTTCGTGTAGTATTTGCTTCCGAGAGTTTCTGTGACACACTGTATATTAATTATAACAATTCTATCAAACCTTGGACTTTCGTATACTATTTGAAATATCTATTGTTTGAAAGATTCAAGCATTCCAATATATAATTACAGATCTCTATAAGTAATGAATGCATGCAAACCTAGTGTGTGTCGGCAACTAACCATCTCGTTCACCTGTGCTATCTATCAATCAAGGGCGGATCCCGCCTTTGGGTCAGGGGGTCCCTTAGTCACAGTAGAGGATTTAGGAGGTTGTCTAGAGCGGAAATGCAGTGGTGGTAGTACAATTCGTATTCAATGAGATGCTTATCTCGATGAAGGGGGCAATTAAACACTAAAGAGCGGGGGAGAGGACTGTATCAATATTACTATTCGTCATTTGTTTGTCTGGGCGGTCCGTGGGGCCCTTGGCCAATAGTCACTGTCTAATGTACGTTAGTCGGATGTCAGTACAGAAACTAGACAATGTCAAGGAAAAAGAGAGGGAAAGAGAAGAAAAAAGGAGAAGAGCAAAGAAAAACAAAAGTGTATCAGTTTTAGAGGAAAGCTGTATCAATGTGACTGTGTGTGAGTGAATGGCCTTGTGACAATTTAAGAGCGGGAGAGCACAAAAATAGTGGTCGATCTCGATTTGCCTAGAGAAAGGGGGAGAGGGTCATGACTAGTGTCGGGGGCACAGGGTAAAACAAATCGGGATTTGGGGTTATAGATCGGGACAACAAAACAACGGCGGATCCAGGATTTGTGTCTGGGGGGTCACACTGGTCAAAAAACTTCATGTTCAGTGCCTCTGACATAAAAATTAGAAACTTGACTGGCGGACGGATGGCAGATAACAACCCTATCCTTGCACCCTTAGGGTACCGCCTAAAAGTGATTAAAATATTAAATCTAATTTATAAATGAACAAATAACAAAATTAATTCTTCTTTTTTGTCTTCCTGCGAATCGATTAATATTAATACTTACCATCTCCTTTGAATCCAGTGCAACAACTTTTTTGTGGTTTTGTCCGTCACAGTGGCGGATTTAAGTAATCGCAAAATGGACATTGCCGCCTGGGCCCCCCCAAGGAAGGGTGGTCACAGCCCTCCCCCCCTATATTGTTCAGCGCGTCTGAATGTAAAATTAATAACAAGAAATCAGTTTTCCAGAGAGCTGCACTTTATTCAGATTGTTTTTTACTTTGCATATCGGTTCAGCTAGTGCTGAACGTGTCATGAGCTCTTTGAAAATAATTAAAGAATATCGTCGAGCTTCTTTGGTTGAAGACGCTCTCAACAACTTCTCTATCCTCTATATCGAAAGATCAGTACACTCAATTTGGATTCTGCGATGGAAGTTTTTGCTGAACGAAAAGCAAGAAGCGGATTCAAATTAGAATAATTCTGTTATTTTGTATTGAATAAAAAATGTTTGATCTCACAGTCTCTACTTGATTCAGGTTATATAGACATATAGTAAAAAAACAGAGGTAACAGTCGTGGGCAGCACCAAAATCTATAGTTCGTGAATATTGAAACAGTTGAATAAGCTGTTTTATTGGCACGTTGAAGCAGCATCAGATTAACTTTTTGCATCAAATTACTATTAAAAAACCTTTTGCACTATCCATGAGCTTGTTTCGGTTACTTGTGCGGGTCTTTCTAATTGTTTTATTCTCGGTTGCCGTCATTAATTTACAAATAGCGATACATGTGGAGAATATCACTTTCGCAAATAGTGCCCAGTATATATCCTGTACTATTTATTAAATTTTGATGTTAATTTCTGAGTTATCATGCAACTTTAAAAGTTTCCATTGCCGTAGTTTATTTGTCAATAATTGCAGTAATTTGTTATTTGCAAAACAGATGTAGTGCGCACTATTTGCCGTCTGTCCCCGATCATACCACTGGGCTCTCAGTGCATATTGCCGACCGGGCCGTTTTCCTTAAATCCGCCACTGGTCCGTCAAAAAGTATTTTTTATTCAATTTGCTCACAGTTTAAGTGCGCACGAAGTAGTTTTTCATACATCAAGCTGACCGCATAGGCAACCATTTAATATGTGTGCATTATCTAAGAGATTTGGAACTTTAAAAATCAGTGGTCGAACTAAATTCGCCTGGGGGGGTCATGACCCCCATGACCCCCACCTGGATCCGCGCCTGCAACAAAAAGAAATGTATTAAAAAAATGTTTGATTTATTGTGCTTCGTATCGAATATAGTTTATGCATTAGCTATAAAAACAGTTTACATGTATGAATAATTCTTTTTTTATTAAAATTATAATTTTTGTTGCTTTTAGAATTGTCTTGTTTTTTATAACGTAGTTATAGTTTAATTTGAATTTCTGCTTTCATTTGCTCGAGTGTCAAACGGTATCACCTCTCAGATGGAATTAAGTTACCCTACGAAAATTCCCTTACCGTTGCCTCGTTCGATACCGATATTGATGCCATAAACGAAAACAAGGTTTCGAACACTTGCAAAGTCTTGCTTGTCTTTAAAAATATTGTGCCAAGCTTCTAGCGGCGTCAAGTCTTTGTTTTGCACTTCTACCTACGCAACTTCTTCGACTTTACACACTTCTCCATAAAGCTGATCTATGTCGAAGAACGTATCAATTTATAGATTTTCAGTAATGTTAACGATTGACGCGTAAGTGAATGAGTCAGATAGAGATCCAGCAGGCTACGGAAATGTGACGAGATGCGGGGGAAAAAGTAGGGTTCGTTACCAGCTGGGTCAGCTCTTGAGTAAGAGCGAACGCTTCAACTGAATGACCTGCTGCATCGATCTTGTTTGACCCCAACCAAAGCTCATTATAGGCATTGAAATCACTGAGAGCTACCGCTGACGCGGGGTGATTAATGTCCACGAAGCCGATCTTGACGACGAGGTATTCAAGTAGGTTATCCCAGTTATGGTCCGAGAGAGAGCGATAAAGGCAGCAAATTAATTTGGAGGATGTTTTGGAGTTGAGGCGAAGTCACAGAATTGCCTTCCACTCTGATTCCAAAGAAACATCTCTGGAGCAGGAAAGACTGCTGCGGACAAAAGCCACAACTCCCCTGTTATTTCTCAGATTGGAGTGCACCTCGTAATTTGGGAAGCTAAGATGGTTAATCGGTGCAGACTCTGAGATTTTTGTCTCCGCCAACAAAAGCATGGCGGGACGATTTGATTGCAAGTAGTGATGAGCAGCATCAATGTTGCTGTAAATTTTATCTTCGATATTGTTCCCTCGAGTCCACCCTCCACCTAGACATTCCGAGAGTGGAGTGGGTTTACATCCGGAATTACTGGTACTCGAGGGATCCATCATCATTAATTTATTTAAAAAACGACGGCTTAGCTCAGGTGTGGAAACATGCGGATATTTATAAGACACCCTGGGAAAATCTAGCGGGTGGTACCGCCTCGGTCGACTGGTCCTTGTCTACCACCTTCTTTTTAGGTGTTAATGATGTTAGATAGACTAAAGTGACCCGGAAGTATGAATTGATGTTGCTTGTTAGAGCCTGCTTGAACTTTAATTTGAGACCGCGGGCCATAACTACCCTTTTTAGACGCTAGATATATAAATAACTATCATCTACCCAAGGCATAAAGTAGTGCCGCTTTCTTGATAGCATTTATAAGTTTCATTACGTGTTACAGTAGAGGGTATTTTTTTATCTTTGAGGCTAAACTGAATGTTCCTTTTGGCGGATAGCACGGATATAGCCAGGTCGTAGACAAAATTTTGTAGGTATCGCTTCCATTATAAGCGCTTGTCCCCCGGCGTGTTTGAGGCCGCGGCGCTTCGCACCTTGAGCTTTAGTTTCAAGCCGCGGGCCATAAAGGCCGCCTGCGAACGAGGCGCCACTGAGATGTGATTACTCGTTCTTCTCCAAAAAAGAAAAGAAAATGAGCACGCGGTACGTTTAGTAGTACTACTTATCATCGCGAAAATTAATCTTTTTAAAACCGGTTAGTGCTCTAGAAACTGCAGCCGTTCAGTCTCTCTCATTGACTTTCCGATAGCTGTCGGGAAAAAACGACAGTACCATCAAGAACCCACTTGAGAACGACAATCACCATCAGAACAAATTACCAAAACATCAGTGTATGTGCTCATCCACTCGTAGATCCAACCGTGTCGTAACTTGACCCCAGATAAGGGTCTTATCTCTCACTTCAAGTTTCTCACAGAAAGAGTAACACTGTAGAAGAATCGACATATTGTACCTAAAATGTCGCTGCGTGAGTACGACTCGGAAGTTGCCCTTTGTAGGGCCAGGCAGGAAGAAGATGAGTTCGACCTAAAGTTCTACAAGCAGATGGGAGATGGGCTTCCTGTTATCAATGATCTTTCAGACCTGATGAGACAATTGCGATTAATTTTCGATAGTGATGATAACCATGTGAACATTGAGCTAGTGAGGTATTGCATGAAGGCCTACAAATCCAACCCTGCTGATTGGAAGAAGTATGCAAAGTTTGACAGATACAGGTACGTAGTGATGCAAACATTAGATATTTCCGTATCCTATAGTTAAGTAAATAGAAGAGTTATTGAAGAGTCATCAGTTCTTTCGATAGGCGATTCATTTATCCAAAAGATTTTCAACCTAACCATTATACATAATGTTCGAAAAATAGACGGAGACATTTTAGAGGGTGATTCCTTGTTAAAAAAATATGAAAAAGAGTTTCTATAAACATGGGTTCGAAAATGCAGAGTTTTCAAAATAGAGGACGATAAATTTGAAAAAAAATATTTTTTTATTAATATTTAAAAAACTGTTCACTCGATTCTATTGAAATTTGAAAATATTATTTGTTGTATTAAGAGGCTAATTTAGTGCTAAAATAGATTAAAATTATTAGGTACAGTGGCGTCGTGGGGAGCACACCAACTTTTATTCATATTCTTTTAACAAGGAATCACTCTGAAATACCTTCGTAATTTTTCGAACATCCTGTATTAAAAAGATATAGTGTACCCGTTTTTGAAATAGTAAACATTATTTGAACTAGACTCTTCTTCTTAACGAAATATTGGATACATTAGGATAGACTTATTCAAGACCTATTTGAAAATAATTATTGCACAAATATAAAATAAGGAAACCTTCCAAAAATACATACATAAACATACTCCCAAAAAATGAATCTCACAAATTGAAATACTGAACGAAATGTTAACATTAAATGGAAAATATTGATGTTTTCACTTGGTGAAAGATTATCCTATCAGTGACGTAAGCTTTGTGAACTTTTGCAATAAGATCTGTAGATGTAATACATTTAATTATATGACGCACACTAAGTGTCCAAAGATATTTACTACATATAACTAACCCTCATAACCCTTATCGTATACTAGCATATGCTAGAACCAATGTAAAGTAGGATATTGTTTGGAATGCGACAATATATTTTTAATTGAATGAGAAGTTGATTCTTCTTTAATTCATTGTAAACTGGATAATTGAGCCAAGTAGATTTTCTTCATTAAGAATATGCAAACTCATGAATCAATAAAAATATATTATAGTAAATATTGTACCCGTAACAAAGATTTTAACGTGACTAAAGAGGAACTCAAGAAACCAGAACTAAATTTTACTAATTCAGAGCAACATTTTGAGAAACGTTTTTGTAGGTTATCAAAAGTTGAATTTCTTTAAATTGTGTCACACTCATATTTATTAGTTTTCTTATCTCTGGGGAGGTGGCACTTCGCTAGTGCTGCCATTTATACCCCTATAATACTCCAACTGTGTAATACTCGAGGTAATGTACTGTGTAAAGTTGATCCTCCTTCTCGTGATATTCGGTATCTTTTAATTTTATTTCTCGGTAACGGCTAATAATACTCGTACATCACATTCCACTACTTTAATGAAGAAAGTATTGGTTCTTTCTCGTTTTCAACTAATCCAGCACAAGTAAATCGATCCATTATTCCTTCAGCCTTTAGTTTTAGGTGACTGCGTTCAGGATGTCGCTGCCAATATATCCAGAATGCAAAAACGGAATTTTTTGAACTTTCCTTTACACTCTATATCATGTTTGTTGTTATTGTTGTGAGGAATGTTTCTCATGTTGATAAAAATGTTACAGTATAGTTTTTTCTTGAAATGCAATTTACAAAAAGTTTAGTACCAAATCGCCCTCTAGAGAAAAATATTTTCCAACTCATAAACAAATTATAGGCTAGTTTAATTTAGATAAGATGAGTCATAATGGAGTAATGGACCGAACAAGCACTAAAAACATAGTGACACCTTCTTGAATGTACGGATTTATTACATAATTTTGGCTAGATTTAATGTATAATGAAAATAAACCAATTGAAAAGAGCTGCCGTTACCTACTAAATCATAGTTCATTGTATTGTATTCTATTGTAGAAAATACGGGATCACAGAATTTGTCTGCATAAAAATTCGGTAACTGTGACGGTCGAGGAGGTCATAGTTGACTGTTTTGTTTCAATAGATCGTCCATTATCTCAACACTTTGAAAACAAAACCTTATATTATGAATTAATCGAAGAAAGAGACTAAACCTTAACATATTCACGTATACCTACTCCACGTTACAGGGCCGTACTAAGAATAAATGATTTGTGGTTTTACGACACGATCAAAAGGTATGCAAAATTATTGCAGGCGTGTATACGGTCCAAACGTAAAGCTTGGAATTAATATATATTTGTTAATTTAACTGTCATGCCAGAAAAACAACTGTCTATTATTGTTTTCAGTAGAAGTGTTTTATCAAGAAATTATATTCGAAATGTGTAGTAAGGCACATTTTCAGAGCAGGCTTTTAAAAAATGTCTTGACACATTAAATAGATAATTGCATATGCATATACCTTACTACCGCTTGAACAGGTAAGTCAGTATGCAAACAGTCAATTTAAATATTAGACTAAACAATGAATAGATAGATGGGGTTAAAAAAAAGGATTTGAATACATAATAATATATACTAAATAGTATACAATAATTTATTGCACTAACATTTTACCTCTGAAAACGTAAATACATATCAATGACACCGTCTAATTCCCATATTTTAGGTTCGACCTTTTCTTTTACATGCTGATTACATTTTTCCCAATTATTCGGTGTTATTCTTTGTATAGCATCATGAAAAAGATTTTTAAGCCCAGAAAATTTCAAAGTTTTATTTTCTGCTGCAACATATTTCTTTTATGTCTGCCCAAATGAGCTCAATCGGATTGAGCTCACAATGGTAAGGAGGCAATCGTAAAACAGTTTTATTTTGTTTTTTGGCCATTTCATCAATTATGTTCAGGTTATATTTATTTTTATGCGCCTTGACAATTTCTAACAATTCTGCCTTAATCATTATATCATCATAACCAATCTTTTTATTTTTAAGCCATCCTTGAATTTATGGCTTTTTTGCTGACGTTGTTGGAATTTTCTCTAATTTTCTCGTGTGGTATGAAGCATTATCTAATACTATAACCGAATTATCTTCAAGCTTCAGTAGAGTATTTGAGAACTAATTTTCGAACGAGGCTCCATCCATTTCTTCATGGTAGTTTTCCGTTTTTTGGATTCAAATGCCCATAAGGCATCGGACACAAATCCATCTTCATTGCCGATGTGGCAAATTATCAAACTCTTCCCTTTTTCTGAAAATAATTCATTTTGAACACTTGAAAATTGCCCTCATAGAAAGCATTATTAAAAACCCAACAAAATGATTACTTGATTTCTTATCTCGATATAGTTTAAGCATGTACAAAAACAAAAATAAAATATGATTTTAGTTGTAATTGCTCAACTTACAAGTATTAAAAAATATGTAGGTGTCAGTGTGCCCAATAATACCAGAAATGTGCTTTGAAATATTACCTGATTGATTTTTAAATCCAGTAGATAGTCCATTCAAGAATGCTTGCTTTGAAGATTTTATGGAAGAATCCATCCAAACCTTCGCCTGTGTATGTCCTGGGTTGACCGATGTTTCGTCTAGGTAGTATATGTTCCTACCTTATGTACGAAATTTTCTTATTTGTCTTAGATAGTTCCTTCTCCAGATAACTATTTCACCTTTTTCCAATAAAAGACTGTTTCTTTTTGTATTGGAACCCCATTTCTTTTAATAATTTATGGAAGGTAGATCTCTTGAAACTTGGTCATTATCCTCGTTAGCCAGCTTCAGCACTTTAACCACCGTTGGTGATTCATTACGAAAGAAAAAATTATGTACAATTCTCCTTATGGCGGTTCTGTCGAAGTAATCTATGGCATCGTTGATATTTTTTCTTGGCGGATACTTTTTTGGGTCGTCCAGGGAATGGTTAGATGTTAGATCTGTACTCCCGAACAATTCGGTGAACACTTGCACGACTAACGCCCGAAATACTTGCTACTTTGCAAACAATGTCCTGAACACTTGAGTCACTCCTTCCTTCCATTTCGTGTTTATAGATGTTGAGAGTCATTTGTTTTTTGCTAACGCTAAAATGAAACCTTTTACCTCTTATTTTAGGCGGTGTGCAGATAATATCAACAACTTCATCAGCTGTATCCGTATCAGACATTTTGAGCTATACGAAATTAAACTGACAACACACAGCACACAGTAATACCAGTATAAATCTGATGCCAGCTTTGTACCGTATAAATAAATATATATATATATAGCATTAACGGCCGGCCACCGGGCCAGGCTGCATGCACGGTCTCCCACTCCAGCCTCCGATTTGCCATTAGTTCTGTGTAAGGGCTCGACCTATTCTGCTCAATAACAGTTATGCTCCCTCTCTCTTGAAATAGAGGAAAGGAACCAAATTTGAGACAAGCGCCTAATTTGAGACAGTGGTGTAACTTTGTATCTTTGTAGCACCATCTTCTAGTAATACCAAAAAGTTGTGAACTAAGACGCAGTAGTATTCTACATGTGTTTACAGTTTAGTTTTGCATATGGTTTGCTGTGACATCACAACTTGGCTGCCCATGCCTTTGATGGTAGTCATACTGCCCAAGATAGAAAAATCTCAGCAGCTGTTCAACGAACATGAGCTGCTAGGTTTGGCAATCCGAGTCGAAGTTCAAAAGAACTCAAGACTCATCGGGCAGTGTCACCGCTGCCAAAAATATGGGCATGCGCAATCTTACTGCACTGCACCACCTAAGTGTCTAAAATGTGCTTCTGACCACATGACCCACTTATGCCCTCATCCCTCAAACAGAACAAGAGGAACGAAAGTGCGCGAACTTGCAGATTTGCCTCTAGGAAAAATCTGCAAGTGGTGCAACCCGGGCTGCCCCCTCTGTGGGATCTTCTACGAACACGCAAAATGTGGACCTGGCAACCGCGCTAAGCAGATCATAGGTCCTCTGATTAGCGCAACACAGGCTTTGCAGGCGATCCTTCCTGCAAATGGCTAGGTACAATAGACGATAGCCTGCATTTATCAAAATTGTTTTTGGAATTGTTTGGGTCTAAGGGACATTCCC